CGCAATGTAATGCAATCGCCACAGATACCTGCATGCCTCCTTACACACCTACGTTTGCGTGCACGGAGCGGCCCCTGCCCAACACACGGTCGTGCACGCCCTCACTCGCGGGCACGCCGCATGCCCTGTGCCTGGCACCGCAGGCCTCGGTGATGTTGCTGCACGTGCAAGCGCTGGAGTGCAGCGTGGACGCGCTGGAGGGCCGCTCTACTGTTGCTCTGCAGCTCCGCGGCGTTCGCTGCGAACAGCTGGGCAACGTCAGCGCCAAACAGTACCTGAGCGCCCGCAGTGCCAGTGAGTGTGTGTGGCGGGGAGTGTGGTGGTGGCTGTTACATGAATTTTGTGGATGGACAGATTCGTGAAGGAGGCTTGTTGTGTGCTTTAGATATTCTGTAATAAATTGCAGCGCAACCAGTGCCCTGTTCCACACTCCTATAGCTGTGGCCATGACCTGGGATGATTAAACTCCATTCAACGAGGTCGCCAGGCGGCTCAGATGTCGGGAGCGCTGAGCCGGCACCACTGAATCCTGGGTTCGAATCCAGGTGGCCTGCTGGGGATAGTCAAGTAATTAACCAGAAAAATTGGTAGATAAATCGATTTCTCAATTGAATGGCCCGGCTCGACTGTGGACGACATTGGTTACCGTGCACGCTTTCATTGACTGCTGCTGCGGTGTTCGTTCAGGCTCGGGGGCACGAAGCGCGTCGGGAGGCACGCGGGGACCCGGGGAGCCCCCTCAGATCACGCTGCGCCTGGAGAGCCGGCTCGCTGACGACAGCGAGGCCCTCTTGCTCTCCGCGATGTCTCCGGCCACCGGCCCCCGCAACCTCCCCGTCCCCGTGCGAGACCTCCTGCAGTGCCATGTGCGGGCCGTGTCTGCGTCTCTGTCCACGTCCTATCTCTCCAATTTGGGCTACTTCATGGAGGATGAGCTCATCCCAACCGAGGTTCTGCCGTTGGTGCTGAGCATCTGTGACTGCAGCATCACCATCAGGGTCAGCGCATGATGATTGTTATTATTATTTCTGTCGGTGAAATGGCCAAGTGGTAGCGTGTTCGCTGCTTGTTATATATCCCGTGACATTCTAAAAAGAGTAGGCTGTGTGTGCCGGAAGTCATGGTCCAGATTTTTTTTTATTTTGAAACATTACACCACTAATTATTTAATTTGAATAACAAAGAACAACATTGTTTTTACTCTAATTCCTGTTTGGCTGATTTACGTTTCCTTCACTGCTGTGCTTGTTGTTTTGTTATTGCTCTTGTCATTTAAGGTCAGTCTTGCAAATGACACTCTCCTGATCCCTCCAGTTTTTACCTGATTAAATAAAATGCCTTGTGGCTCACAGGGGGCAGCTGTCATTATGAGGTCCCCTAAGAGAGAAAAGGAAACTCCAGCTGGACATTTGAGATACTGGGCATTAAAGTTTGAGTTTTAAGCTTGTTTTATTTAACCAGATGGGAACTCTCATCTCAATCATTCCAATGTCCAGCTGGAGTTTCCTTTTCGTTCTTAGGGGACCCCCTGATGACAGCTCCCCCTGTGAGGTGCAAGGCACTGCAGCACAGGGACGTGCGGTCAGGGGAAGCAGGGGAGGCAAGCCTCACCTGTCAAACTCCAATGAAAATAGCTGTTGCGAAAAGTAAAAAAAAGAATAATAAAATAAATATAAAGATTTTTCCACTGATCTGTGTTATAAATGTCATTTCTGTACGATTCCAATCATTTTATAGTCAAAATCGCCAAACTTGCGGAGCTCCACTGCAAATACAGGAAGAGACGAGAGGTGAGGCAGCGACGAGCTCAGCCTCCCCTCTGATTGCGCAACCGCTTAGTAACTGGATGGAGCGTGGACAATAAGCACGTGCCTGTTACTATCTCAGTATGTCACCAATGTAATGTTTGTAGACCCCTTCATTTCATGTCCTCGCCTTCCATACTCCAGGTAACTTATTTCACGTATGTAAATAAAGATATTTAGGCTCGCTAGTCTCGTCATGAAACTGCAATGAAAAAGCACCAGGGGAGGCAGCTATCACATCTGCCTCACTGAGGGGGACGTGTCTAACACGCCCCCCTCAGTGAGGACACGCCCCCCTCCGTGAGACCACGCCCCCATCTGTGTGAATCTGGCTCTGACACTAGCCAGTGCCTCCGCAGCCATTGACCTCACCGCACTTCACTGCTGCAGCACCAACCTGCAAGTGGGCATTCATCTATTAGTACAGGAGATGTTTACGTTTCAAGATTATTTTGTTTACTTATGTAGAAACTTGAGAGAACAGGAGTGTCTCATTTGCAAGAGTGACCAGAATGACAAGGAATACTAGTAGAACAATCAAGCAAATAGAAATCGGTGCAAAATCAACCAAATTAAATTAGAGCCTAAACAACCGCGAACACAGTGCAGATACCTACTTAATATTTAACAATATATTCCCAGTAATATAATTTGGCTCAGACAATTTAATTTTCAAGCAACATTGAAATTAAACCACAGAAACATAAAGTTATATTTGCGGTGATAATTGCAATTGTACATAAAGAGACAAGGACCTTGTCAAATATCCACGCTCCCAAAACAAGTGAAGATCCCCCTCGTTGTCGTTTCCAGGATGACAGCCCATCTATGAATGTGGCCTCCCCAGGCCCCTTGCCCGTGAAAGTTGCCGTCTCGCACGTGTCCATCCAACGCGGCCCCGACGGTGTCTTCTGCATCTCGGGTACCAGCATCTGTGCAGGCGGACTTCACTGTCACGCACCGTACACCGCCACCACTATCGTAATCACAGTTACTTTGACCGCTTTGTTATACAAATAACCGGTCAGATGGTTAAGCGCTCGGGCGAGCTGTTCACAATCTGAAGCTTGCGAGTACAAATCCTGATTGGGGGGGTTTACTCAGCCCATCATCACGCAGGGGTTGTTAAAATGAATACCGCATTATGGGGAGATCGATGGTGATCCTATAGATAGACTCGCACCCTTCATAAGAATGTGGAACTTCTGCCACTGACGTGAGGCTGTATACAGGAAATGAGCGCCACCTCAACATTGGTTTGATCATAAATTAACAATTATTGGACTCGCACTGCTGTTATCACAGCTGCTTTAACGTGCATCATTACAAATGACTTGACTTAGGCCTCAAAGCAAGAAGGCCTTGGGTTCGATTCCCAAATTAAGTGCTTTTCAGTGTGGAGCTTGTACGTTCTCCCCCTGTTCTGTGTAGGAGTACCTCTGGGTTTTCTGAATTCCTCCCGTAGCTTAAAAAAGACATACAGTGTAACTGGTGTTGGCCAAACATCCTATTGCTGCTGAATGATTACTTGCAATTTACTCAGTCGGGATCACACACAGCAGCAACATCGCCCCCTGCTGCAAAAAAAACTTGATAGGACCATCTTGAAAAAGAGACTTGAGACTTGGATAAACAATAATAATAATAATTGCATCCTAACTGTCGTGACGACTGCATGTGCCCTACTGCTGTGTGTGTATGTGCTACAGGGGGGCCAGGAGGGGGGCCCAGCAGTAGTCACGCCTGCCTGCTCTGCACAGCCTCAGAGCAGAGCCTGGGGGGCCACGATGGCACTCAAGATGCCGCCGCCCGTCGATTGAAGGAAGGAAGGGGGAACGGAAAGACGGATCGCGATGGCGAGATGGAATCTGGGCAGGGGAGGCCAGATGAGACTCGCGAGGCGGTGGGGAGTCGGGCCCATTCCGCCGGAGATGAAGACGACGAGGCGGAAGATCTGAAGCGGCGGCTCGCGGCCACCAACTTGGCGTTGGCGGAAGCGAAGGCCGAGGTGGAGTCGCTGCGACACGAGCTCTGTCGCTTACGGAGAGAGTCCCTGGGGAAACCGAGTTCATGAGGGCGTGCGAGGGCTTGTGCACCGGGGCGCGTGCGTGTGTAATGTGAATGTACAGAATACACGGAGAGTGTGAACTGAGCGTTTAATTCAAGGCTACTTCAGGGGCTGCACTGCATACACACAAAGAGGACGTCGACACGTTGGAAACGCTGCGTAGCCAACGCTGCATAGCCAACACTGCGGCTGGGTTGAGCATTCTCGGTAGAATTGCTTTGTTTGACATAAACACAAGCGCACATTCACATCATTGTTCCCTAGGTATATGCGGCGGTGGCACTAGAGCCCCAAGCACAATGTGTGTGTGCGTGCGTGTCGCCATCTCTCATTGCTTAGCACATGTTGCATAGCTATGCATGCAGATGGGGGGGGGGGGGTATTCGTGAGGCGGCCCAATGTGCAATACACAGCGGCGTGGCGAGCAGTTGTACCTCCGAGGTGGATTCAAAACATAAAGCACCTGCCATTGCAATTTTTTTCTCCAGCACTGCAGGTTGTGTTTAATATTTTTTAATGTTTTATTGTAATTGAAGGTCTCTAACGCGCAGTAAATGAAGGTGCAAAGATGTTGCGATAGTAAATAGAAAATAAAATTGAAGCAGAAAGTTTGCACGGCGTGTTAAGTTCGGGGTGTTCACGCCACCTTGGGCAGCGCACTGCACGAGCATCCAAATTGGCGATGAGGCGCATTCAGTGAAAGCGTATTTGGCTCTATTTGTAACTTTTACAAATTCAAATTGGTTTCCTGCTCGAAAGTATTGAGGCCGTGCTCATCTCTTGCTGATGATTGCCTCGTGGTGGAAACTCCACATTCCTGTGGCAGGGGTGAGTCTCCACCACTGGTAGGTGTTTCACATCACTTTTTTCCCCACGATCACACGATGGTACCCTTCAGTCATAAAGAGCTACCACGGCAACCTTGCTATCACACATTTGTGATCGAGATATTGAATGCTTCGATAGAATACTTGTTAGCATTTGTCACTGTGGGTGGTACCATCGAGCCATTTTCCTGGCCAATGTCTCTCGGATCTTACCGCTGCGTCTCTGCCGAGCTCTCCACTCTCCACTTATGCCTCTTGAACGCACAGTGGCACCAAACACACGGAGACAGACTCACGGAGGGCGGGGAGACTCGTTTAATGATGCAGGGAGACAGCGAGACACGAGAAGACAGCGGCAAAACACGCAGAGACAGAGCCAGACAATGCGGTCACACAGCAAGGGAGACTTGAGGCCAATTCGGACATTCACGATCCTAATCACAAACTCGCCCTGACGCAGTGGCCCCTAATACGAGAACCCTGACAACGGGGACGCATGTCCCTATGTTCACTCACCTATAAGACACGTCTACGTGTTCATCAGCCCAGGAAAGTTGTTCCATCAGCCCAGAGCACATCTGCCTAGATGTTTCACTTAAAGGACACCTTTTTACCCATTAGATAGATGCCCACGTCTCCAATTTGTCAGACTTCTATCCGTTTAGAAAACGCCTGTCGCGTGTACACAGACCCAGAGGACATGTCCACCGTCCACCAGCTTATTGAGCACGTCTACAAGCGAAGTATCGAGTCGGTCCACATGTCCACAAACATAGGGGACTGCTTTCTCACGCATTCAGCAGGCTGGGCGAGTGGGGTGGGGGTGCTTCCCCGCTACCCTGCACCACCAGACTGACCTCCCTTTTGGCAGCTCTCATTAAGATGAAGATCTCGTGGCCAAAGACGTTGATACTGCAGCCACCACCACCACCACACCTCGCCAACGCGTTCTATCCTCTGCCAGATTTCACAGCTGTCGCACAGTAGACACACACACGTGACATCCAAGAGCTGCCTCTTATGGGGGTGCAGCTTTCGGTAGCGAAGGCGGGGAACTGGGTGGATCTCACCCCCCTCGGGGACTAAGGAGGAGGGCGGGGGGCGCTAGGCCATCCTGGAGAGCGCGCAGGAGAGCACAGACACTTGCTCCTGGAGGGCGTCGACGGCCGTGCGCAGGGAGCGCGTGGAGTCGAGGGCATGCACGGAGCGCGTGATGGGGTCGAAGCGCAGAGCCACGGGGCGGCGCAAGCCCTGCGCGTACTGCCTGCTCCACGGCAAAAACAGGTACCCCCCCCCCCCCCCCCCCCATGTAGCCTTTAGCACACTTGGGGGGAAGTTCTGTTCGCGAGCAACCTTACAACACAAGCATCAATAGCTACGATCTTGATTTGGGTGACAGGGTGGTGGTGCTAGTGGTGCTAGGGTATCGCAGCAAGAAGCACCTAGGTTCGAACCAGCCTCGAGCACCTCCGTGGAATGTGTATGTTTCCCCCCCGCCGTCCTGTAGTGCAGGGGTTTGCTCTGGGTTCGGGTTTCTCCCATAGCTAACAACAACATACAACTTGTAACTGGTATTGGCCAAACACCTCAATGCTGAGTAATTCCCTGCAAATAACTCAATTGGGATACTCCACAGCTGCACCTCTACGGGAACTAATTTAATCGCTCCATCTCCCTGGTGGTCCCACTCTCCTGCGCGGTCATCCCCTTGGCTGCTACTCCGCTAATAGTCTTGACCTTTGGCCATGACCCCTCCTCGCCATGGCGTGTCCTGCAGCCCAAGCCCGCTCACTTTTGTTTATACGAATGTGAAGCCGCGGGAAGCAAGTGAATTGTGTGCTCAGCTACTTAGTTACTTTGCTGTGCTTGACAGTCGGATGCTGTGGCTAAGGTGTGACTCGGGTGTCCAACCACACCTGAGCTTGTCCTTGGCGTCCTCCAGGCTGTCTGACACGAAGTACACGGGCTGGTAGGTCTGGTCCTGGTACGGCTGCAGCGCCGCTGCCTCCGCCTCGAATGCGCGGTACTCGGGCTCTCCGGACAGCGCAAACTGGGGGAGGGGGGAGTGGGGGTGCAGTGAAGAGGGGCATCGATTAATCGAAGGGTTGTTTTCTGTGACAGGTGAGCAGTGACAGAGCAGGTGAGAAGGATAGTGAGTGAGGCACTACACTCACCATGAGCTCCCCGAAGGAGGAGAGAAGCCCCGCCCCGTACGCCTTCACGTGCCCCTCCTGCTTGCAGAGCCCGAACTCCACCGTGAACCAGTAGAGCTGGGGTAGAGGGGCACAGGGGTGGGTCCGGTAGTGCACAGGTGGGTGGTGGTAGTGCACAGGTAGGTGGTGGCAGCGCACAGGTCGGCGGTGGTGGCACTGAATTGCGAGGGGCGGGGTTCCGTTCCTCACCGTCGCCAGTTTCTCGATGTCTTCATCACTCGCTCCCAGAGACGCCAGTCCGATGTTCTACACGGGGGGAGGGGGGTGTTAGCGGTCTCTCCGTGCTCACCCCTCACTCCACCTTACCCCCCTCACTCCGTTCACTCGGCTCCCCCTCACCCCTCTCACCCGCCCAACCACGCTCACCTCGCTCACCCCGCTCACCTGTGAGAATTGCGCAAAGGTGCTGTCCGCCAGCATGGGCACGTGACCGAGCAGTTCGTGACAGCAGTCGCTGTGAGCACATGGCGCAGATGCACGCGGGATAGGGGGGGGGGGGTCACAGTCATCGCAATGCACGCGAGTTGTGTGCGTTGTGAGTGAGTGCGCGTGTGGTGAGTGTCCTCACGGCTCGGGGGAGTGCATGGGTGAGGACGCGTGGCGGATGTACTGCGTGCACTGGAACACGCGGAACGCGAGACTCGCCAGGAAGTCTCGCGCCGACAGCAACCCTGCCGCGGGGCGCAGCTGGAACCCTGTGCGCTCTGGGGGGCGAGGGGTAGGGACAGTCGGGGGGTGGGGAGAGGAGCGGACAGGTATTCCGGCATGTGAGTCGGTTCGCGAGCGTAGCTGCGGTACAAACACCCGCCTCTTTATGACCCAACTGCGCCTTTCATAATTTAACCAGGGAACCACTCATCTGGAAACTCACTTGACCACTCATTCACTCACTCAAGACATTCAAACACACCCACCTACCCATCCACCCACATACCCACTCACTTACCTATTCACTCATCCACACAGGAGCAGACAAATATTCAATTTAACCACCCGGGACATTCCATCCAGACACCTCCGCAACCCAACCCGCACAACATCCCCAGCCTATCTATCCCCACAGTCGCCCTGCACCGGGGGCCCGAGACCTGCACCCCCACCCCCGACTCCCGCACCCAGAAGGAACGTGGACACGTCCTCGAGTTGTGGGATCGCGTCCTCGCTGTAGCCGCAGTGCTGCTCCAAGAGACGGAAGGCGTCCACGTGCTCCTTACACGCGTGTGTCGGGTACAGCCCGGCCAGCTTGCGGTACACCTCCCCCCTGGGGGGAGCAGGGGGAGCCAGTGGGGGTGGGGGTAAGCATCGCCGTTATCGTCATTCAGCCGGGTGGTGGTGGTGGCTACGCTGCTGCACGCGGCTGCCTGTGACCCAGCGCTGTGGAGGTTGGTGGATCACCGCACACAAGGTGCCGTACCCTGGCTCGCCAGGAGAAGGCGTTACTCAAGTGGACTAATCACCATCTATTTCTATCTGTACGGGGATGGAGTGTTCCCTCTGTCACGCCAGGGTTTTTTTGCTGGTGCTCCGATTTCCTCCCCACGTGTATAATAATCACAACTCAGCATCACCACTATTATGGCTCTCAGATGTGCTTGCGAGTTGTACCGCCTGTTGTTCGGAACTACGCCCGACGGTTCGCTGCTCGTACCGGGAGCTTCTTGAGGTACTGAATGGAATTTAGTTTTTCAATTCAAACATCTCCTTTCCTCCCCCCTTTCTTTCCCCGTGCCGCCTCCTCGCTGTGCCCATGTCGCTCACTCACCACGTGGCTATTTCCTCCTGCGTGTAGTGAACCCGCGGAATGAGCTCCCCTCTGTGGGGGTGGGGGAGAGAGATGGGCGGGGGAGATGGGGGGGGTCAATTCTGCGGCGGGGGAGACACCGCTCCATCATCAGCTCACCTCGGACATAACAGAGGACATCAAGAAATATCACAGCCAGCCGACATCTCACCAGCGAGCGTCGTGCCACCTACTCCAGCCTGGCAGCGATCCCCGTAGGATATTCAATGGGACATGGAGTGAAATGAAGCCCTGGGCAGAGACGCTTCCTCAAACATCCTCTCAGCACCTCGCACGGGGAGCTGGCGAGCCGCGTGTCCACGTGACGCGCGGCCTTCCGTGAGCTGATTGTGGTGGCACCAAGGGGTGAGTGCGGGGTGAGTGCGGGGTGAGTGCGGGGTGAGTGCGGGGAGAGTGCGGGGTGAGTGTGGGGTGAGTGAGGGGTGAGTGCGGGGTGAGTGAGGGGTGAGTGCGGGGTGAGTGCGGGGTGAGTGAGGGGTGAGTGCGGGGTGAGTGAGGGGTGAGTGCGGGGTGAGTAGGGGGTGAGTGAGGGGTGAGTGCGGGGTGAGTGCGGGGTGAGTGAGGGGCGAGTGCGGGGTGAGTGAGGGGTGAGTGCGGGGTGAGTGCGGGGTGAGTGAGGGGTGAGTGCGGGGTGAGTGCGCGGTGAGTGAGGGGTGAGTGCGGGGTGAGTAGGGGGTGAGTGAGGGGTGAGTGCGGGGTGAGTGAGGGGTGAGTGCGGGGTGAGTGAGGGGTGAGTGCGGGCACAGTGCGAGGTACACGTGCTCACGTCTTGTAGGCGAAGGCGATGTCCGCTATTTCTCGGCGCCGCTGTTTGTACGCGGGGTCCGTGAATCCCTGTGAAGATCAGAGAGGCGACCCCCTCACGGACCCGACAGGGACCCACCATAGCCAAAGGAGACCCCACGGACCCCTTGCTCCCATCATCAGCGAAGAGTCGTCGCCTCGTGGCCCAAGAGGCGCAGGGACCTCGGCGCTTCAAGGATTTGGCGCGAGTCAAGGATCGGTTTGTCGTGCCGAGTGAACCCCCAGCCACTGTAAACGGGGGAACGAGAGATGGGGTCTGCGTCCCCCCTCCCTCGTATCCCCCCGTGCCCCCCCCCTCCTCCCGCGTACCGGGTGGTCGTGGTCCAGCTCGGGCTCGAACTTGGTCACCAGGTGGTTGCACCTGTCCAGCTCCTGCAGTTTGCGCGGGAACCACGGCCCTGTGCACGCGCGCGCACGCGTCACTGTTGGTGAGAGACGAGGCCCCCCCCTCCTCCAATCTCCCCCCCCCCCCCCGTAACCTCAACTACCGGGATCCCTCCGTCTGATCCCCCCCCCCACGCCATTTACGAGATAGAGCGTTGCCGCCTCGCACGCTCGTTTTTATTAAAGGTGTTCCGGTTGTCCCCTCCTACGTGTATGATAATGATAATACCAATATATCGTACATAAAACCCCAATCTAGCGTCGGCAGGATCCTCCTGAAGAAGAAGAAGAAGAGTCACGCGACTCCATGTGGCTCTCCTGGATGAGCGACTATCACGACGCTGTATGCCCCCCGCCCCTCCCTTCGATCCCAGCACCTACAGCCCTCGACCACCGATCCGTTACCCTCATCACTTAACCCCTCCCCCCCAATGACCCCCCCCCCCTCACCCCCCTCACCCTCCTCACCCTCCTCACCCCCTCACTCTCCTCACCCCCCTCATCCCCCTCACCCCCCTCACCCCCCTCACCCCCCTCACCCTTGTCCTCACGGCCCGTGCGCACGTGCTCGGCCACGCGCCTCAAGGCCCCCACGAGCGCTGTGACGTCACAGGCGCGCGCTTCGCAGCGCACGAGCAGCTCGAGCCCCCACCCCGCCGCCGCCCCCCCCCGGCCCCCCGGCGTCCCGGCGCGAGCGCCGCGACTCCACGTGCAGCACGTGCGCCACGAACGTCTGCGCGGGGGACACGCGGGGCACACGCACGTTGGTACACGCACGCACGTAGGTACACACGCACGTGGGTACACGCGCACGCACGTGGGTACACGCGCACGCACGTTGGTACACGCACGCACGTAGGTACACACACGCACGTGGGTACACACACTCACGCACGTGGGTACACGCGCACGCACGTGGGTACACGCGCACGCACGTGGGTACACACGCACGTGGGTACGCACGTGGATTTACACTCACGCACGTGGGTACACACGCACGCACGTGGGAACACGCACGTGGGTACACACTCACGCACGTGAGTACAACACACATGGGTACACACGCACACGTGGGTACACACGCACACGTGGGTACACACGTGGATACACACGCACACGTGGGTACACACGTGCGGGTACACGCACATACGTAGACGAACACAGGTGGGTGGAGCAAAAAAGAAACACAGTGTCGGTGACGAATATATGAGCCGGTCCTGGGCCTCCCGTAAGTCGACTCAGCCTCAAATAAAAAAACTCGGCGTGGTGTGTAAACATCGGCACTCGGGAGACTGAGCGCCGTTGGCGGCCTTCATCGGTGTTCGCTAACAGTACTTGCCTCAGCAGTCTGTTAAAGGCTATACGGTGCATCTTTGTCTTTGTACCTCGAAAACTTTGATGGCTCGGGAGAGCCCTCGCCCCCCTCGGAGCGCGCATAGCAGCGTGAGTGTGGCGCGCGCGCCCCCTCCGGGAACTGCCGAGCCCCCCTCCTCCTCGCGCCCCTCGCCGCTTGCCTCCTCCCGTCCACCCCCGGCCTCCCGCTCCTTGCGCGCGTCTGAGATGAGACTCTGACGGCGACCCGTGTAGGGGGGGCTCTGGGGATAGGGGAGGGGGGTATTGGATAAGGCAGGGAGAGGAACGGAGAAAAGGGACCGTCGAATCCAGACGGCGTTCCGCACGGAGGACCCGGGGGTCCAAGATATATCGCTGCTCCTTCGCCTTCACGCCTCCTCGATCGCAAGGGTCGGGTGTTGGCAGGAGTCGGGTGGTGTCGAGTCGTGTGTTGGCAGGATGGTTCTAGTTTCACTTGGAGTTCGGATGCTGTTGGGTTTAGGATGGTTGGATCTGGATCAAGGTGGCGGAGTGGGTAACACCTGTCCCTCACAGCAATAAGTTACTGGGCTCCAATCCCGCCTCGGGCCCCTCTGTATTTACAGTTTGTATGTTCTTTCCCCCTGTTCTGCATGGCTTTCCTCCGGATTCTCTCTTTTTCTCCAATAGCTAAAATAAACATATAAAACAAACTCAACAAATTATTGAAATTTTACCAGGTAAGCCCCACTGAGCGATATATATGTTTCAGAAGGTACATGGCCACAATTGATAGCTCAACAAAGTGGCTCATAACGTAGAAATGTATAGCTGCCAAATACTCTAAACGCGTGTTTTTTTAATGTAGAGAGAAAAACCGGAGAACCCGGAGAAAACCCCACGCGACCAGGGGGGGAATATGGTCGGGATGGAACCCACGACTTCCTGTATACCAGGCGAGGTTAATATCTGTAACTGGTATTGGCTAAACATCCGAACGCTGAAACATTACCTGCACATTACTCAATTGGGATTGCACACAGTAGTAGTAGCAGCAGCGACACCGCCCCCTACTACGATATATTAGCAGGGCCCTCCTTAAAAGGAGTCTTGAGACGCAGTGAATATTTCCTGGATAAACAATGATAACACCACTAATGATCAAATATATAGGTCAGGGTCAGAGAATGAGAATCAGAGCTATGGTTAAGGTTAACGTCAGGATAATGGTCGGGGTTGTAGTCAATGGTTTGGGTCAGGACAGTGGCCAGGGCTGTGGTGAGGGTTCGAGTCGAGGTCAGGGCTGGGGAGCCCATGGACCAGGGCGCTCCCCGCAGTGCACACCAAGTGCGCCCTGCACCGCCGCTGTACGCGTGTACGTGAACGGGAGCAAGTGAACGGGAGCGCGTGAACGGGAGCACGTGAACGCGTACACGTGAACGGGAGCACGTGAACGGGAGCACGTGAACGGGAGCACGTGAACGGGAGCACGTGAAGAGATGACAGAACCGGGCAGAGTCGGGCAGGTGAAGCGGCGGCGTGAGTGGAGGGTTCTTACCTGGTTTACATCAAGGAGGTGTGTGAGAGAGAGAGAGCGGTGGCGCTGTGGTTGTACCTTTGTGGTGGAGACACCGCCTCACCGTCGCAGGTTTAGAATCTCTCTGCTCTAAAAACAATAGCCATTGCTATTTTTATTTTACCTCCGACTAGCACGGTTGGAAATATACGGTGCGAAATAAGTTCAACATACACACATTCATTGCCCGAAACGTCGCATATTTTATATATACAGAATGTGCGTATATCATTTTTGCGTAGTTATACTGACGAACGAGTTTAGTTTGTGTTATTTGTGCTTGTACACCCCTGCTTAAGCTGATATCACAACAACGATATTGCATGGTTAATTCTCAGCTGGTGTCTCACCTGGTGGTTTAAACATCGAATCTGTGTGTGTGAGTGATGGGTGGCGCGGTGCTTGCGCCTGCAGGGGCGGTGGTGCGGTGGATGCGAGGGAGTCGCTGCCTCACCGAGATGCTCTCTGCGCGGCTGCCGAGCTCGGAGCCCGCGCGGCGGAACGGACGCGACAGCGGCGGGGAGTCGGGGCTCGGCATCGTCACGGCGGCGGTGGCTTCAGGCGCCCGGGGTCTCGGGACCTCCCTTATAAACCCTCGCACCGCGACCCCCTCCCACTATCCCCCCCACCCCAGATCCCCATAACCCCCCGGCTCCCTCCCTCCGTTCAGCGTTCCGTGTGAATAGCGGACCCCGCTCCCATCTCCTGCTCCTCCTCTTCTTCCCCCGCGCGAGGAGGACGCGTGCGTCACGGGAGGCGACGCAGTGGGACCTGGGAAGTAATTTACTCTCTCGGCCACTCGAGCAGACAGTCACCTCGACCAGACTCTCACCACCAGACTCGCTCATCAACCAGACTCTCCCATTCTTGCCACCAGACCCTCAATCCGATTCTCCGATTCTATATTTTGACTTAGCGTGCTGATCTTAAAGGTGCATTGAAAAAATTGATACTCCAACTGATGCTTCTGTTGTTGTGGAGTAACTCATGCAGCCAGCTATGGCTCTAGGATTTGGTGTTGCATGATATTTATGTAGTTTATTGTAAAAATTCGGTCACAGTCCCTGTGATCACTGTTACGTTGCAATTATGGCTTTATTTTTTGTTGATTTCGAAACGTTTTTTGGTTTGGACATGTTTGTTTTGTTGTAGTACGGAGTTAGACTGATGGCCTTAATCTAATTTTTCTTGTGGTTGTTGTTGTTTGACTTGCATCCCACTGGGATTTTTTGCACACAGCGTTGGTGTACCGTGCTTTTTTCAGGAATATTTTGCCGTGTTTTTTCATGGATTTTCTGTTTGCACAGTTACATAGTCACTTTAAGATGTTTTTCTTGTTCGTGTTTTTTTTGTTTGTTGTGGTTGCACCCGATTCAAGAGCCGAATGGCTCACAGGGCTATACCAAAAAAATAAATAAACTGAAACTGAAACACTCACCTAGACATTCACACCAGTATTAGACATCGACCAGCTAGCTACTCTCCAGTACTCAGACTATCACCACCAGACCACTAATAAACGATACTCTCAGACTCGCATCGCTCTCAGTCCACGCTCATCTACCGAATCGAGTCCACCATATGCACACTCACAAAACTCACCAACCGAGCCATTATTCAAGCATCCAAGAAACCAGTCACCCACCGAGCAACTCATCTACTTACTCAACCACCCAGCCCCCCCCCCCCCCCCCCCCCGCGTCGTGTACACAGCCTCTACGCATGCGTCTCAAGAGGAAGAAGACTGTTTATTTACTTATTGCGCGAACAAATACAATCTACAATCATGCTCTAGATCACCACAATCATTAACAGCACCATTCACATTTTAGTCGTCATCATCATCGCGTCGCGCCGATCCGCACGCACGCGCGCCGGATCCCAACTCATCCACTTGCGGTGCTCTGGCCCCGACATATGGGCCATCACGCGCCTGTAATTAATCAATTATTGAGTAATTCATCAATTAATTAAATATTAATAACTTAATTGCTGAGTTAATCGAGGCTGCACGAGTCGCGCAGAATCATCTCGCGGTGTGGGTTCGGGGAGGTTGGGGTCATTGGGACCCCCGACCCCAATGACCCAAACCTGCAATCCTCCACCCCCCGCCCATATTTAAAAATCGGAAATCCACTTTCATGCCCCCGTCTCCTGACACCTCTCGAATGCGACTGAGCCTCCTTGGCGCAGGTGAATGTGCGAGTCATCCCCCGGCCCCGCCCCTTCGTTCACCACGCCGTCTCCTCCAAAGCTGCCCCTCCCCTCCCTGGGCCCCAGGTGGTGAAGGGCCCCGGTGCCGCCCCCGCCCCTCTTTGCATGACAATTGGCCCAGGGGGAGGGGAATGGGAGGGAGAGGTGGGGGGTAGTGGGTCCCGAGCTCGCGCTCAGATCAAAGCACGGCGCATCTCATTTGTGGAGACAGCGGAGCTCGGCGTGACGACGGAGGAGAGGTCGTGACGTAGGATAGCGAGGGGCAGAGGGGGGCAGTGGGGAAGTAGAACGGAGCATAGAGGGCAGCAGAGTGGTAGGCAGGGATTGATAAGGAAAGAAGGGCAGAGAGGGGTAGAGAGGGCATCCACGGGTTGATAGGAGTAGAGAAGCGCGGCGAGGTGCCCGGGGGATGGAGGTGGGGGGCTGCCCGACTCTCCACTAGGTGTGCAGCTTCTGAAGAGCGTCACAGATCACGTCCAGCCCCCCTGTACCACACACACAAAGACAAAGATCCACCGTATAGTCTTAACATAGTTTTGGGGAAAGTGCTGTTAGCGAACACCTTTGAAGGGTGCAACGGTACACGAGGGGGTGGGTGGCTAGCACCACGCCCGGCGCCTTTGTATTCTCGTGGCGATGTTTAAACACCGCAACAGGTAGTCATTTGAGGCTAAGTCGACCTAGGGGAGGCCCAGGACCGGTTCAGATAATCGTTACTGCGTCACACGCACACACACACGACGGTACACCAACCTTACACAGGATGACGTCACGAGCAACTTTCACAACTACGCGCAGGTGACGTCACGTGTATACCTGGGCTACACGCGTGACATCACGCGTGCCGGTGAATTCAAGGGGGAGGCGAGAAGCCCGCGTGGGAGTGGGACAATGGAAGCGTGAGGGGGGCGGAGGAAGGTGTGGGCGCCGCAGGTGTGTGGGTAATGGAGGTGTGCTTGGCAGAGTGATGAACATGTGAGCGAAGGTGTGAGCGCAGGTGTTGAGATGTGAGGCGTATATATGAAGGCATTGGCACAGGCGTGTGTGTGGGTAATGGAGGCATGAATATGGAGGTGAGTGGATGAAGATGAGGACAGGTAAGCGTAGGAAGGTGTATGAATGAGGTGAGGTGCACAGGTAAGCGTCGGGATGTGTGTGGATGAAGGTGAGGGGCATAGGTGAGCGTGTGGGGGACAGGTGAGGTGAGCACCCGCACCGCGCACGTGGCTGGCGAGTTGGCGCAGCTTTTCCAGGGAGTCTAGCACCTCCATGCCCTGCGTGTAGGGGTTGTAGTTCACGGAGAACGGGCGTGGGATGGTGGCAGCGAACTTCCTGCGTGTGCACACAACAATCAATGAGATCTTGAGCCAGAGGTGGAAATTCGACATTCCCATGGTGAGAGCGAGTCAAGCACAGGGCAACCATAAAGTGGTGCTCGTTTTATCGACCCCGGAGAGATAATGGTATCCGTATAACCCTTCTAACTCCTAACCCATAACCTTAACTCCTCAACCCCACACCCTTATTTCAAACTCATTTCTTTAGAACTGTTTTTTTTATATTTAGTTTGTCCTTCCCCCGCACCTCCGATTAGCACGGTTGGCTACGTACGGTAGGAAAGAAGTTCAACATACATACAAACCCCTAAACCTAGCTCGTAACCCAAATCCTAAACTTCCAACCCTTAACCCCCAATCCCAATCCGCTGACTCCCAACCCCTGACCGCTGCGCCCTGGCCGTACCGCATCTTGTCCTTGGCGTCCTCGAAGCTCTCGGCCACGAAATAAACGGGCTGGAACTCGGTGATGGGGTACTCCTGGCAGGCAGCCTTGGTGGGCTCGAAGGGCCGCAACTCCGGCTTGCCCGACACGCAGTGCTGTGCACGCACACGGCCCGGGGGGAGCGGGTGAGGTGGGGAGGTTACCCACTCCTGGTCTAGCGGGGGGCCCGGGGGAGTCCCTAGAGACACCAACTGCTGCTTCCTCCTCCTCCTTATGATAATAGGGTTTCCCCTTTTTTTCTGGCAACACAACAGGTGTTACTTCATCCTCATTCCTCCTCCTTCCTCTTTATCCCCCCCCCTCTTTTTTCTTCATCCTTAATTCCTGCTGCCTCCCTTACACAGGACCCGCCTAGACGGCGTGGCAGGAAGGAGAGGGTGCATCGTGGCTTCACCACCTCTACCCCGCCCCACGTACCTCGCGCTCCGAGCCACAGACCGGCGCGGCCTGCACGCCCCTAGGAAGCGCGTCGGCAGTGCACCGCGGCAAGGCGCCACTCACCTCGAGCTCCCCGAAGGAGGAGAGAAGCCCCGCCCCGTACGCCTTCACGTGCCCCTCCTGCTTGCAGAGCCCGAACTCCACCGTGAACCAGTAGAGCTGGGGTAGAGGGGCACAGGGGTGGGTCCGGTAGTGCACAGGTGGGTGGCACACATGTGGCTGGTGGTAGTGCACAGGTGGGTGGTGGTAGCGCACAGGTGAGAATGGAGAAGGATGAGGTTATATAATCTTTGGTTCTATTCGGTAAAGCCACGTAGGTAAAAAATCAAACAACAAAGATCACGACGTTTCGGCCACAACGCACGTGGCCTTCTTCAGGTGAAGGAACAGAACTGTCGGGACGACAGCACTTCAATGAACGCTGCTAAGATTCGCAGCGTCTTTTAAGCTCGGTGGGAGGAGCAGGGCGCCTTGACAAAGGAGTTTACATATCAAAAATAGCTGTGTTAAAGTGTTGAAGCAGCAGGGTGTTAAAGTCAGAAAATTAGCTGGGGGATTAGCATGTTTTTGTGTAGAGGGTGCGGAGGATGGGTCACTGTGTGTGCAATAGAAACGGAAAAAATTAAAGATCGGCAAGAATGGGCTGTCAGGGGAGAGTAGAAAAAAGGGTTTAATAGAAAGTTCGGAATGAATATGCTTGGTATACCATTACTTGAAATTGCTGTTAGAAATTAGTTGACGTTTGGTATGATTTAAAACGTCTTTCCAATGGTTGCTTAATTTGAAACTATCCTCTCGGTTGAAGTTATGTCTGTGTTTGTATATCTGAATGGCTTCGTGGACAAATCTCTGGTGATAACCTGTAGGTTTACAGAGAACCTTGGTATCGGAGAAGACAATCTCATGATCACCCATTGCGTTGTAACAATGATCAGCCACAGCAGATTAATTCGTTCTGCCGTGTTTCAGATCTGATTTGTGCTCGCGAATTCGGTCAGAGATATGTCGTTTCGTCTCCCCGATATAGCAATCACCGCAGGTACAACTCAATTTGTAAACTCCGGGGTACTGTAAGTCAGGGATGACATCCTTCACGGATGGGATCAGGTCACGGATTTTGTGTACTCTATTGAACCGGACCAGGATCTTGTATTTGTTTAGAATTTTGGAGATCTTTTTAGTAACGCCTGCTATATATGGTAGTGTGATGGTTTTGACCGGAGTATCAAGTGGTTATTTCTGTATGGAGGGAGAAACAGCTTGGCGGATGGTACGGTCAGAGTATCCGTTTCTCTTGAGGGCCAGGTGTACATGTTTCAATTCACTGGTCAGGTGGTGTTGGTCGGAAATGCAATGAGCCCTGTGGAATAACGTTTTGATGAGATAATTATTTTGAGCTGGGTGGTGGTGGGAATCAGGCTTAAAGTAGGAATCTGTGTGGGTGGGTTTTCCTGTAGACAGAATGCCCCAATGAGCCATCAGGTCTCCTCTCAAACAGAACATCCAAGAATGGTAGCTTGCCATCTTTCTCCACTTCCATGGTGAATTTGATGGCGGGGTGCCTGGAATTGATGTGGTGTAGGAAAAGGTTCAAAGCTGGGAGGCAATGTGGCCAAATGACGAAAGTGTCATCCACATATCTCTTCCACAGGGAAGCTCTGAGGGTGGAAGTCTAGATGGCGTCTGATTCAAATTTATCCATGAAAACATTGGCTATCACTGGTGATAAGGGAGAACCCATGGGGGTACCCTCATTTTGTTTGTAGAAGGTGCCATTCCAAGTAAAGTATGTATTGGTGAGGCAGTGTCTAACCAGCGCAGGTGTATCGGAGTGTAGTCCATGTTGTGATTTTTGTTGTTTTATTTTTTACCTACGTGACTTTACCGAATGGAACCAAAGAGTATGGCTCCTTGCAGTCACGAAAGCTTCAAATCTAGAAAGGATGAGGTTCACAGGTGTAAGTGAAGGAAGGGTTCGTGAAGTGGGAGGGGAGGGGGGAGGAGTGGGTAGGGAGAGAGAGGCGGGGTGAGTATAGGAGATGGTGCGTTGATGGTGAGTCGAGGTGAGTTAGGGTGAGGGTGGGCTGAGGCGACTGGGAGGACTCACTGTTGCCAGCTTCTCTATGAACTCGTCCGGAGCGCCCAGTGACGCCAGACCGATCTCCTGTGGAGGAGAAGGACACAAACAATCTCTGCTGTGTGGCGGTGACGTCTCCTCGGTTCGGACGAAGCGCACTTTGGGGCCATGTGAAGTGGCTCAGACTTGCATGCAAGAGGGTCACGGGACAGACCCACGTGTTAGGAGTGATAGGAGGCAGACACACCATCTGTACCCCCTACAGCCAAGTTTCAGTTTTATCCACCCAGTACTCTTCCCCTTGTGAGTTGTTTTAACCCGTCTACTGTTGAAACCCGAGCCCGGTCGACACCTGTTTAGCCCCCTCTATTCGGCCAAACAGAAGCTGCTTGGGCATGCGATGGCTGAGCATGCAGGGTACATGACCCAGCCAATGCGGCTTCACCTGCCGGAAGAGCTCACAGATGATGGGGATTGTTTCCGGATGTTTTAAGAATCTATGAGCTCCTCACATGTTCCAGCCAGGTTAAACCCAGGATGGATCGTAGGTAGGCCAAGCCTGTCACAGAGATACGGACACAGGCCACAACAATGAGTACCTGTATACACAGAAGTGCGTACCTTGTAGGCACACATTTGTGTGCACCGGTACACACAGCTGCGTACCTGTGTGCACACACACACTCGTGTGCATCTCTACTCACACGTGCGTACCTGTACACAAACACATACTGGTGTGCACCTGTACGCACACACAAACGCACTCTCACCTGGGAGAACTGGGCGAAGCTGGGGTCCGCGAACAGAGGCACGTGACCCAACAGCTCGTGGCATATGTCTCTACAAGGGGGGGTGGGGGGGGGACGTGGAGACGAGGCAACACGGGGTTGGGGAGACGTGACATTTTCCATTGCCATTTGCGTCTGCAGCGGCCTCTGCCTCCGCCCCCCACCACTCATCCCCCGCCCCCCGGCCTCCCTTCCCAGACGCCCCCCGCCTCCCGAGTCCCGTCGCCCGCAGCGTGAGTCGCGCGTGGCTCGCATCGCCGACCGTTGTCTCTGCGGCGCGACTCATGCAGATCCGGGTTGTGTCCGTTATCATCAACATCTCTATCAGCTACCATCTCCATCAGCATCTCCATCGGTCACCAACACCACCGATTATTACGGTTGCGAAAGAAGTTCAACATACATACATCTCCATCTCAACAACATCACATTCATCACCACCACCCCCACCGTCTTCGTTGTTTCTATTATTAGGGGTTGGGCACCACGCACCCCTCAGAGGCCCCGGTGTGAGCAAGCGGAGTGGTGGGTGGGGGTCGCTAATTCACCTCCGCGCAGCTGTGCAAACCACGGCTCCGAGATAGGCGCGCGTGCCCGTGTGTGCGCGCGCGTGTTTGTTCATTTGCGCACATGAGGCTGCTGTGTATGCGCGTGCTTGTGGAGGTGCGTTCGTGCATACACGTGCGTGTGTGCACGTGACACATCTGCACACGTGACACATCTGCACACGTGTGTGTGTACGTGTGGTATGCGTGCCCGCGACACATCTGTGCGCGCGCGTGCCCCGTGTCCCGCGCGTGCGCGCGTGCATCTGGTCCCGCCGCGATAAGAGCTCTCTCTGTTTGCGCGGCGCGCGCGTCACAGCCCAGAACAGTGCCGCGTCCGTTAATCGCATCTCGCGCGGAGATGCGATCAGGTCCGAACATCCTCCCTCCCCCTAACCCATGCCCCCTGTGCCCCCTATGACCCCCTACCCACACAACCACCTTGCCCCCCTTCAACAAACACTAACAACAGCAACAAGCGCCACACACACACGGGGGAGCAGGCGCACATTGTTTGGGGGTGCCTACACCTCAACTTTAATGTAAACACTGCGGTGGATGTACACGGGCGCGTGTGTGGTTATGAATGCAGGAGTGGTGCAGTGGTTAACGCGCTGCGCTCGGAACCCGTCAGCCCAATTTCATTTTCTGGCAAACGGCTAAAAATCAGCAAAATCAACCTCTCGCTGACCAGGGTGCTGAACTATGGCCAAAACAACTCCGATGACCGACTCGACGGGGGGAGGAGAACTTTATCCGTCGGTGGATTGAGAATGTCTGGAATTGATGTCTTATATTACGCGTTCAGTTGCATGCGCAGGATTTCTCCGGAGCAATATTGATCCTTACTCAAGTGCATATTGCCGTGAATACGCTTCTCACCACTCCCGCATTATCCAATCCACACGCACCCTCTACCCACGCACCCTCTACCCACGCACGCACCCTCTACCCATGCACGCACCCCCCTCTACCCACGCACGCACCCCCCTCTATCCACGCACGCACCCTCAACCCACGCACGCATCCCCCTCTACCCACGCACGCACCCTCTACCCGCGCACGCACCCCCCTCTACCCACGCACCTCCCTCTACCCACGCACGCACCCCCCTCTACCCACGCACGCACCCCCCTCTACCCACGCACGCACCCTCTACCAAGGAATGCGCAGCTCGGCGAACGGTAGCGAATGAGGCTTCGCGCATCACGGGCGTTTGTCCGTGACGCGGTGTGCACGTTATATGAAGCGCTGCTATTGTTATCGTTGATGTGGGAATGATGGTCTAACTATACAAATACTTTTCTCTTGTGTGTTTATGACATTTGTATTTCCTGGAAAGCTTCACTGAGCCGCAGGACTTTCGTCCAGGCCGATCCTGTTACGTTTTGGGGCGAGGTTGCCACGTGTTTCCCAATTGAGTAACTGGCGAATAATTGGCAAGTCTGCAGCTTATCTGGCGAGGTGGGGTGTTTATGATATATGGTGAGAGAGCGGTGAGTGGTGAGTGCATGGCTCACGGCTCGGGTGTGTACATGGGCCGGCTCGCGTGGCGGATGTACTGCGTGGAGTGGAACACGCGGAATCCGAGTCCAGCGAGGAAATCTCGAGACGACAGCAGCCCTGCCACGGGCCGCAGACGGAACCCCGTGCAGCCTGGGGGGGGGGGGGGGTACGGGGAGGGCGTATTGGGGGATAGCGGGAGGTGCGGAGGAGATGCACGGCGGGGGTCACGAGGTCACTGGAGGCACGGCGAGGGTCGCTGGTTACAGGATTCACGGGGAAGGCGAGGGGTGGCGGGGCGAAAGGTCACGGGCAGGGTTTCACTCGCAAAAGCGGTGGTGCTGGAAAAGGGGAGGTCGGGGGGTGGGGTCAACTGGGAGGTCACGATGGGTGGTCGCAGAAAAGCACAGTCGTAGAGAAGTCGCGGAGCCTCACGGGGAGTCGCGGAGCGAGGTGCTCACGGGGGCAGAGAGGAGATAGTGAGATGGACGGTAGCAGCACGTGACCGTGAGAGATGGTGACGGCGCGCGGGTAGGCCTTCATCCAGCAGTGGATAGACGATGGTTGTCTTGGTGATGATGATGAAGAGGTGGACACTTATAGAAATGCGGTCGCTGATCTCCATTTACAGATTTGTGAGCCCCCCCCCCCCCTCACTATACCTCTGATCAATCGCCCTGAATGGCGCCCGAGCTTTTCTGATCTCAGAAGCTCAGCATGATGCAGCCTGTTGAGCCACTGGCTGCTCGATCGGCAGTTGTGCTCTCATCTCATCTTGTGGTACATATCTATGTTGAACTTATTTTGTCCCGTGCGTAGTCAACCGTGCTAATCAGAGCTGCGGGGAAGGACAACAAACTATGTATATCGAGCGCCTTACCTTAAGGCGCTCGATAACACAGTTTAAAAGGGAACAAAATGTGAGTCATTTAGATGTCAGGGGCATGCAATGGCCGAGGAATGCGCGACCGTAACAGAGGGCACACGGGGGTCATTAAAGGGCAGGGGAGGCACGTAAAGGGATGGAGGGGCGACGGCAGGCAAGAAATAGAGAATGGGCGGTGACAAGAGGTGAGGTTTCGAGGAAGAGGAACGGACAGAGGTTCAGGAGGGGCTGCTTCATGTTGAGTCTATGGGCAATGTTGAGTCTGTGGGCAGTGTTATTTAATGTCCAGGGAAAGTTTGCTCCAGTGGAGGGGTGCAAGGAGGGAGAAAGGTCAGAATTGTGATTGGGCATAGGGAGGTACAGTGACGGAAAGAGAAGATTGGTAATGAAGAAGACGAGAGGAGGGAACATGGAAGCAGATGAGTGAGGCGAGATGAGTTGGGGCAAAGCCATGAAGAGATTTAAAGACGAGCGTCAGGCATTTGAAAAGACAGCGGAGTCGGAGGTGATGGAGAGAGGGTTGCTGTGATTGTGGCCGCCCTGCCACACGTACCCAGCAGGAATCGGGACACCTCCTCGAGCTGCGGGATGTTGCCCTCGCTGTACCCGCAGTGCTGCTCCAGCAGGGGGAACACGTGGTTGTGCTCGCGGCACGCGTGGGTCGGGTAGAGCTTCTTGAGCTCGCGGAACACCTTGCCCCACGTGGCCACCTCGGTCTTCGTGTAGGTCACACGTGGAATTTCCTGCCCACTGTGGGGAGTGGGGGGGGGGCATGGGATATGAGGGGGAGAAGGAGATGGGGGGAGGTGAGACACCAACATCGGCCGATGGACTCGGCACTCCCGACCGAGATGAACGTGCCACGTTTCCACGACCCGTGCTGGGCCGTCGTTGATGGAGCTGCAGCGCGGCTTGAGTCCTGCTATCCGATGGTCGTGGGAACTTGGCACACAACTTGGCTCGTGAATCTCTATGCCCCCCTTTCCCGAGCTTATCTGCTCCTGCCCCCCATTTTAAAAAGACCTGCAGGGGTTCAACGAATGGAGTGGTGTGCGCCCCGTAAAGGACCCGCGGGGTCCATGGAGCCCGCGAAGCTGCCCCCCCTCTCCCCTTTCCAGACCCCGCTTGTCCCCTGCGTTCGAACCCCTTCTCTCCTCGGGATAAACATGCAATTTGAGCGGAGATTAAGAAGAAGGATCTTGAGACAAAGGCCGCGTCTCGCCCCCATGCTGCGATGCCGCCTCTCCGCTCACTGCGCCAATTAAACATAATCGCCGCCCTTTGCTGAATGAGCGGGGAAATTGCTGGACCGTACGGGTGTAGGGGGTAGGGGGGGCGGGAGAGGAAGGGGGGGGGGTCTGTAAGGATTGGTGACTCAGATGAGCTTGCACTGCTCCCCCACGTACCCCCCACGGCATAGAGAGGGAGACTGCTCGCCGTTGGTGCGAGGGAAAGAGGGGAGTGGAGTGTGCATGGAGGAGTAGGCGATCAGTGTCCGTGTGTGCTGCGAGGGTGCACACTGCAGTAAGGTGGCGTGCAAAGTGAGGGTGTGTACACAGGGTATTTCTGCAGGATGTGTGTGGTGCAGTGTGTGGGAGCAGTACCGTAGCCGTTAGTGCCCTGCGCTACGAACCCAACAACCCGGGTTCCATTCCCGCTAACGAGGAACTACTGTGACGATTATCTGAACCGGTCCTGGACCTTCCCTAGGTCGACTTAGCCTTAAATGAGTATCTGGTGCGGTGTGTAAACATCGCCACTGGGGAAACAAAAGCGGTCGGGTATGGTTCTGGCAACCCACCCCCTCGTGTGCCGTGTCTTAATAATTGCTTGAGTCTGTCAAGGCTACAAGGGGGATCTTTGTCTTTGTGTCTGTGCACTAATGAGCCGCCGCTCGCTCCCTAATTGAGCTGTGATTGAGGCCGCGTGCGCGGCAGCTGCTGCCCGCGCGCGCCGAGGGTGAGACCCGAGTTCGAGTCCTGGGTCGTGTGGTGCGTCCCACTGACTTCTGTCTTCAGCGTCCGGCGTCTGGGGTCACGTTACAGCTCACGGGGGGAGTGGGGGAGGTACCGGCTCACGGGAGAGGTCCCGACTGGTACGTGCGTGACTCTTACTGCCGGTAGTTGAAGGCGATGTCGGCGAACTCCTTGCGGCGCGCGCGGTAAACGGGGTCCGTGAACCCCTGCGCGCACGGGGAGGAGGGGGGGCATAGAGTGGGGAAAGAGGATGGGAGGTACCCCCTTTAGCGGGGCCCGAGGAGAGCGACCCCCACCCAGTGTTATCCACATACACCCTTCACCCCCCACCCACCCCTATACCTGGCACCCCCAAGTCCCGCAGCGCGAGGCGCAGCTGCTCAAGAGCGGCGCGCTTCATCAGGTGGGGGCCGCGAGCCCCCCCCCCTCCCCCCTTTCATCACGAACACCGCTCCAGTATTGACCCCCCCCCTCAGCCGCACACCTCCCCTCTTACCCCCTTGTCGCCTCTACCCCGCACGACCAAATCACGGCTCAAGGCGGGCACAGCCCCGAGTTTCCGAGTCAATACAATCAGAGCAGAAGCGAGCACGGCATCAGCAACAGCAACAGCAATTACTGCAGCGGTAGTAGCGGTGACAGCAGCAATCACGAGCAGAGTGGCAGCGCTGAGCCACTTGGCACGGCCACTCTTTGGGGGAGGGGGGTGGGAGCGAAGATGTTGGGTTCAACATCATTATCAGCAGCCATGATCAATCCACTGCTGGATGAAGACCTCCCCAAGCTGTCGCCCTCTCTCGGTTCTGAGATGTCACAGTCCACACAGCGTCTTGCACGCCACGGGCTGATTGCATCTTCGCTCCGTCTGCGTTCTGTGTCCATGGGGTCGCGTCTCGACACTCAACACGCACCCACGTTGGTCACTACACTGCCCAAGATCGAAAACGTTTCCAATCCGTAGTGAGGTCCGCTAGTCTAACAAAGGGTGACTGCCCGAAACGTTAGTAGATTGTATGTTTCTATTGTAGGGCAATGGTGGGGTGGAGTTGTGGCACAGTAATAAGCGACATGCGGTATGAATGAATCATGCGGCCTGACATCAGTGGCGAGCGATATTTCAACAGCCTTCACCAACCCACCACACTGACCAGCGTGGTGAAGTATGGTCAAGCAAACCCCATAAGGACCGATGTGGCATTGAGAAGCCTTCATCTAGCAGTGTATGGACAGACATCTGTAAGCCATTAAGACAGCGAAAACAATGCATGTGGTGCGTGCTTTCGCTTCGTGTAGTACAGCACTGCCCAAGCGCAGTGCCATTGTTGTTGTCGGGTGGGTGCGTGCTAGGTGTGTGTTGGTTTGTATTGATGTGTGTGTGTTAAAGTTTGTTGATGTGTGTTGATGTGTGGGGAGCGGTGGCGCAGTGGTTAGCGCGCTGCACTACGAACCCCGCGACCCGAGTTCGATTCCCGCTCAAGGCTAACATCAGTGACGATTATCTAAACCGGTCCTTGGCTTCCCCTAGATAGACTCAGCCTTAAATGAGTACCTGGTGAGATGCGTAAACATTGCCACTGGGGTGACAAAGGCGGCCGGGCGTGGTGTCGGTCACCCACCCGCTCGTGTGCAGTGCCGGCCTTCATTTGTGCTCCTCGCTAACGGCACTTGCCCCAAAGTATGGTAAGGTATGCGGGGAGTCTTTGTATTTGTATCTGTGTGTGAACGTATCAGTGCGACTCACGGGGTGGTCTGAATCCAGCTCGGCCCCGTAGCTCAAGATCTGGTTCGCGAATCGATCCAGGTCCCTAATGGTTCGCGGGAACCATGGAACTGAGGGGTAGGGTGAGGAGGGGGGAAACCGGAGAGTCAATGGAGTCCCATCATCACCACACAACGATCCATCATCGCATCACACAATGGAAGACCCATCACCACATGCGGAACCATCGCATCGCCATCACTAGGGGAGTTAGGAGCCAGAAATCGGAGAAAAGTCGGCCATGGTCTACGTTTTAAAAAGAAAAATACCCGCAAATGACGCAATTACGATCACACGTCGCAACATCGCTCCACTCGAGCAAAACAACTGACGGGACTCACTGAGCGAGGCGTGTGACCCCATGTCAACGACTCATCCACGCTGGTTCAGAGCGGGTTGGTGGAGGGAGATACGAACGCAGCAGACACGGTTCCCATGTGCCACGCCACTGAACTCAGGCAGGTATCCGGGTTGGTGCGCATGGCCCTCTGTCACATGGGCTTTGTTCAGTAGCTTGTGTCCTTGTGTGTCCTTGTGTGGTGTTTCTAGTTCTGGTAGACTGAGTCTCCCCTAGGTAGACTCAGCTTTAAATGAGTACCTGGTGCTATGTGTAAACATCACTACCAGGCCCTCCGGGTTCATCCAGAGTGCCATGGCCCTCTGTCACCCCTGCGCCGCCCCAGGCCCTCTCGCCCCCTAGCCCTCGTGTGTGGTGTGCGCTCTGTGTGTGGTGTGCGCTCTGTGTGTGTGGTGTGCGCTCTGTGTGGTGTGGTGTGCGCTCTGTGTGGTGTGCGCTGCGTGTGTGGTGTGCGCTGCATGTGTGGTGTGCGCTCTGTGTGGTGTTCGCTCTGTGTGTGGTGTGCACTGCGTGTGGAGTGCGCTGCGTGTGTGGTGTGCGCTGCGTGTGTGGAGTGCGCTCTGTATATGTGGTCGAGGAGGGGGCTGGTGTTGGCATTTGTGCTGCCGCCAGCGTTCCCGATACCAGGTCTCTGCTCCCCCCAACCCCAAGTCCCCCCCTGCCTCCCCTCCCTCTCAACTCGTGCCTACCCGCCCTCTCTCCTCCACTCGAGCCACCCGAAATGTTTGACAGCGTGGATTGGGTGACGTCAATTCGCTTCCAGCGCACAAATTCAGATAAAAGACAAAGACCTCCCGTTTAGCTTTCACCAGGCAGTTGGACAAGTGATGTTAGCGAGCACCTATTAAGACCAGCACGGAACACGAGGGGGTGGTGAGGCCAAAACCACGCCCGGCCATCTTTGTCTCTCCCGGCGCTGATGTTTACACACCCCACCAGGTCCTCATATGAGGCTGAGTTGACCTCGGGAAAGCCCAGGACCTGTTCAGATATTCGTCACTGGTGTTGGCTGTGAGCGGGAGTCAAACTCGGGTGACCGGGTTCGGAGCGCAACGCGTTACCCAATACACTACAGCTGTCACACGCACACACGGACACATACAGCCAAGACAAAGACATAGACTGACGCACACACACTGGGACACAGAGACACGCACAGACGCACACACAGCCTGGCACATTTCAGACATGCCGCTCATTTCGTATCGACTCTGTTAATGGGATTGACGCGGTGGTGAGATGATGAGGTAGCGATGCGATGGCGATGTACCGTGCCCTCTTCCGTCGGCCTCAGGTTATCAAAGGTCAAGGGGTAGTTGGGAGGGGAGGATGGGGTAGCCGAGAGGGGAGAAGGGGTAGTTGTGAGGGAGAAGGTGGGAGGGGGTAAATGGGAAGGGAGGGTAGATGGCAAGGGAGGACCAGGACCTGGACCACACGATGGTCATGATGAGTATCGCAGGAATGATGGATGGGATGGTATTGGGGGGCTGCGTGCTCCCACCCGCGTCCTTGCGCTTGTTGCGCGACAGCTGCAGCACGGAGCCCGCGGACTGAGAGCGAAGCTCGAGCAGCAGCGCGTCCAGGGCCCCGGGCCGCTCGCCGCTCACGCTCGCGTAGAACTCCCACTGGTCGGGCGCGTGGCGGCACGGGCGAGACTCGATGTGGCGCAGGTTCAATCCCTTCTCCTGGCAGGGGCAGAGGTGGTGGGAGAGACGGGGAGGGGGGAGGCACACGCGGACAGGCGGGGAGATACGAGAACGGGTCCCGGCAACACGTGGTGTGTATCTGGTGTTGGGGCCTAGTGGGGGTCCATTGGGAGTTGGGGTGCGTCCCGCAGGGGTCCATCCTCGGTGCTTGGCCCGCTCGTCTCAATGTATCTCCTCCCTCTTTGAAATATAATTTCCAGTTATGTCTACTATAATCATATTCTGATGACCAACAGCGATGCATATTCCATTGAATCCACATCTCGACTCGACCACTGCAACCATCTCCTCTATGGCTTCCCCAACCCATCATCTCCAGATAACCCAGCATGTCGCCGACAGACTTCTCACCCGCGTCTCCACAATTCTCGGATCGCTCCACTGGCTCCCACTCTAATTCTGCATCATCTTTGAGATCCTTCATGGAATCGCCCCTTCCAACCTCTCCCCTCTCAATATCTCTCTACTCCCCTCCGCACTCTCTGACCTCTGTCCTAGCATCTCTCGCTACTCCCCTCCGCACAAACTCCACTCCAGTAAACCGACGCTCTCTGTCCAAGCTCCCAGTCAAGCTTCGCTCAGTGGGGAGTCGCTCATTTTCCTCTGCTGCTCCCATAATCTAAAGCTTCCTTCCCTCAGCCTCGCTGCTGTCGATTCCCTGCCTATGCGACTTCTGTCACTCTTTCCTAGAACTTCTGGAGATGTGGTCGCATTTAGACGCTCTATGAATCCACGTCATATAGCACGATTGTACTGTTTGTAGGGGTTTATTAGGACTCTGTTTGGGGTCTGTAAGGGGGCGTTTGAGGGGCGCTTTGCCGCTACGGCCGCACGTCTCTCAGGGAGCGTCCGACAGGTACAATGTTGACGTCACCACTGCACGCGCGTGGGCGTCTAATTGCCTTAATTGCCTTTAATTGCCTTGCATTGTTTAGCGTGCATCTCGCAATTGACGCGATCCCAGTCACAGCGATCAGAGACGGGGCTCTTTGTGACCCGAAAAACCTCTTAAAGGCAGAGGATAAATTAGAATGTCAAAGAGCCATGCACACGGTGCACCGTGCGCCATGTGCGCTTGTGTCCGTGTCCGTACACAGTTCCCGTGTACCTCGGCAGTGTGCTCATGACCAGATCCGGAATTGGAGCAGAGGTTTCACTTCATCGGCTGCGTAACGCTGTGTGGAAGATATCTGGCTCTGTCGCTCCATACGAAGCTTCGGGTCTTTCCGGCCACAGTCGTGCCCTCCCTTCTCGATGCTGCTCCGGTTTGAAACATTCGGGCTGACTTGTCTGTGAGGAGCTTACAGATCCGGGAAAGATCCTCCAGCAGGCGAGGTTGCCTTGCTTGGGGCATGTAGCCCGCATTCACAGCCACCGCATGCCCAAGCAGCTTCTGTATGGCCGGATAGAGGGAGCTAAGCGTGGGTGGCAACGGCTCGAGAATGAATGTGCCGACGCGGTGAGGGATTACTTGGAGCTGGTTAGATTTGCTAACGATTGGTACCAGTGCCATCAACAGCGGCCTCGATGGGGGAGGCTCGTAGAGAACGCTACTTGACAGTTGGAGGCAGTCGCCCTCCAACAGCAGTGTAGGGTAGAGGAGCGACGCTCACAACAACGACCGGAGCGTCGGGCGTATTAAACGCAGCTAGCCGATACAATGGGAAGCACAGGTGGTGCCAGTCAGGCAACCCATGGGACCTGGGTCTGTCTCGTCACCTCCTATCAGCGGGCCTTCCACACTTCACTTCCATTCCAGCACTTTCCTTGAGAGTTTGGCTCTGTCTCTGTATTTTATCTGTCCGTGTGCGGCGTGCGGGATGTGTGTGTCGTGTCAACAGTGCAGGGTTTCTGTGGTGCATCTGCCAGTCACCCCGGTCTGGTCATTAGTAACACGTATAGGCCTCTTCCGTGACTTTCTACCCGCGAACTTTTGCCACCTACCGTGGCCTCAAAAGGGCACCTATACTGGCACAAGATCCGTTGTGATATCAACCACGACTTAGCGCCGAATGGCGGCTGTCATTGAAGAGTGCGCTTGTGAGTGGAGAGCAGTGGCGCAATGATTAGCGCACTGCGCTATGAACCCGGTGACCCGACTTCGATTCCCGCTCACGATAAACAACAGCGGCGAATGTCTTAACCGGTTCTGGGCCTCTCCTTGTCGGTGTGTACTCGGATGGGTACCTGGTGTGGTGTGTAAATATCGTCACTTGTGATCCAAAGGCGGTTGGGGGCGGTGTTGACCACCACCCCCTCCTGTGCCCTGCCGCCCTTCATAGGTGCGCTCGCTAACAGCACTTGTCCCAACAGTCTGTTAAGGCTATGCGGGGGATCTTTGTATTTGTTTGATTGGGGAGCGGTGGCAGAGCGGCTAGCGCTGCTGCGAGACGAAACTCGGCCACTTGCGCTCGATTTTTTATTACGGGAAACATCGACATTGGATAATATCTAAACCGGTGCTGATCCTCCCCTAGGTCGACTCAGCTTTAAATTAGTACCTGGAGCTTCTTCAGGAACAGATTGGAATCGGGGTGGGGTGGACGTTGAGGGGGTGCAGGTGACAATGGTCGAGTCTCTTCAGTTCGGACTTTACCGACCAGCACTGGTGAGCGCAGTGCAGCATGGGCACGGCCTGCATGGCGTGTTAAATATGATGTTTAATAGGATGTTTAATAGGATGTTTAATAGGATGAACTCAGCCATACACTCACAGACGTCCGCGTGGTAGGCGGTAAGTGCGCATACGATATTTGTATGTTTTTACAGGGAGGGACAGATGTGTGAATGAGTTGATACATTTCGATTTAAAGCTTTCGTGACTGCAAGGATTCATCTTCTTGGTTCTTTCGGTAAAGTCACGTAGGATGAGAATAAAACAAACGACAGCGCTGTCGTCCCGACAGCTCTGTTCCTTCACCTGAAGAAGGCTACTTGTGTTGTGGCCGAAACGTCGTGAGAATTTTATTGTCTTATTTTGTTTTATTGTTTTATTCTCATTCTACGTGACTTTAGCGAAAGAATCAAGAAGATGAGTTGATACATATCAGCTGCCCGCTCGTATTGTTCGCGGTTCGTGCTGCAGGCCTCCGGAGCCCAGACCCGAGACCCCGCGGGGCGGCGCCCCCTCGCGTCCCGCGTCGGGAACTCCCCGGCGCAGGGCCACCGACTCCCTGGCTAGGATCTCGTTCTGTGTGCGCCACGGGAACGTGAGCGCCACGCTTTGGCGTCAAACACACGAATGCACGACGTGAAACACGTGACTTACTAACATAAACCACCATAATACACAACATGAAACACGTGACTTACTAACATAAACCACCATAATACACAACGTGAAACACGTGACTCACTAACATAAACCACCATAATGCACGACGTGAAACACGTGACTTACTAACATACACCACCATAATACACAACGTGAAACACGTGACTTACTAACATAAACCACCATAATACACGACGTGAAACACGTGACTCACTAACATACACCACCATAATACACAACGTGAAACACGTGACTTACTAACATAAACCACCATAATGCACAACGTGAAACACGTGACTTACTGACATAAACCACCATAATACACGACGTGAAACACGTGATTTACTAACATAAACCACCATAATACACAACATGAAACACGTGACTCACTAACATAAACCACCATAATGCACGACGTGAAACACGTGACTTACTAACATACACCACCATAATACACAACGTGAAACACGTGACTTACTAACATAAACCACCATAATACACGACGTGAAACACGTGACTCACTAACATACACCACCATAATACACAACGTGAAACACGTGACTTACTAACATAAACCACCATAATACACAACGTGAAACACGTGACTTCCTAACATAAACCACCATAATACACGACGTGAAACACGTGATTTACTAACATAAACCACCATAATACACAACGTGAAACACGTGACTTACTAAAATAAACCACCATAATGCACAACGTGAAACACGTGACTTACTGACATAAACCACCATAATACACGACGTGAAACACGTGATTTACTAACATAAACCACCATAATACACAACGTGAAACACGTGACTTACTAACATAAACCACCATAATACACGACGTGAAACACGTGACTTACTAACATACACCTCCATAATACACGACGTGAAACACGTGACTTACTGACATAAACCACCATAATACACGACGTGAAACACGTGACTTACTGACATAAACCACCATAATACACAACGTGAAACACGTGACTTACTAACATACACCACCATAATACACAACGTGAAACACGTGACTTACTAACATACACCTCCATAATACACGACGTGAAACACGTGACTTACTAACATACACCGCCATAATACACAACGTGAAACACGTGACGTATTAACATAAACCACCATAATACACAACGTGAAACGCGTGACTTACTAACATAAACCACCATAATACACGACGTAAAACACGTGACTTACTAACATACACCACCATAATACACAACGTGAAACACGTGACGTATTAACATAAACCACCATAATACACAACGTGAAACACGTGACTTACTAACATACACCACCATAATACACAACGTAAAACACGTGACGTATTAACATACACCTCCATAATACAGAACGTGAAACGCGTGACTTACTAATATACTCTTCCATAATGCACGGCGTAAAACACGTGACTTACTAACATAAACCACCATAATACACAACGTGAAACACGTGACTCACTAACATAAACCACCATAATGCACGACGTGAAACACGTGACTTACTAACATACACCACCATAATGCACGATGTGAAACACGTGACTTACTAACATAAACCACCATAATACACAACGTGAAACACGTGACTTACTAACATACACCACCATAATACACAACGTGAAACACGTGACTTACTACATACTCCTCCATGTTGCACAACGTGAAACACGTGACGTATTAACATACACCTCCATAATACACAACGTGAAACACGTGACTTACTGACATAAACCACCATAATACACGACGTGAAACACGTGACTTACTGACATAAACCACCATAATACACAACGTAAAACACGTGACTCACTAACATACACCACCATAATACACAACGTGAAACACGTGACTTACTAACATACACCACCATAATACACAACGTGAAACACGTGACTCACTAACATACACCACCATAATACACAACGTGAAACACGTGACTCACTAACATACACCACCATAATACACAACGTGAAACACGTGACTTACTAACATACACCACCATAATACACAACGTGAAACACGTGATTTACTAACATACACCACCATAATACACAACGTGAAACACGTGACTTACTAACATACACCACCATAATACACAACGTGAAACACGTGACTTACTAACATAAACCACCATAATGCACGACGTGAAACACGTGACTCACTAACATAAACCACCATAATACACAACGTGAAACACGTGACTTACTAACATAAACCACCATAATACACAACGTGAAACACGTGACGTATTAACATAAACCACCATAATACACAACGTGAAACACGTGACTTACTAACATAAACCACCATAATACACAACGTGAAACACGTGACTCACTAACATAAACCACCATAATACACAACGTGAAACACGTGACTTACTAACATAAACCTCCATAATGCACGACGTGAAACACGTGACTTACTAACATAAACCACCATAATACACAACGTGAAACACGTGACTCACTAACATAAACCACCATAATGTACGACGTGAAACACGTGACTTACTAACTCCAATTTTTATCAGAGGCATGTCCACGTGACCTCTGTGTGTTGTTGTTTTTAGTTATTTAATAACGGAACGGGGGGGCGGGCGTGAGAACCGCCGGATTAAGCGAGTATTATATAATATCGATTACAATACATTTACTCTCACGGTATGTGTATGGACTCGTTTGCGTGATACCGGGAATCATTACCGTCATGATGAGAATCAACATCCAGAATTAGTTTTTAACAAAGGATGGTTGTGAGATCGACTACAGACAAAAAAGAGACGAAAAACAGTGAGACTGCATTGCATAAGCGTGCAGACAATGTATTGGACTTTGATGATGAGGGAGGGTGGAAAAGGAGGATGAGGAGGATGATGAGGAGGAGGGTGTTGCAAAACCCAACCCGACACCCGAGCATTCCCTGATCCCAAACTTTGCGCAATAGCGAGAGGGGAGTTGCGTCACAAACCCCGGGGGCGGTGCCCTCTGGGTTGAATCTCGGCCGCAGTAAACAGGGGGCAGCGAGCTTGGGGGCAGCGGGCAGCGGGCTTGGGGGCAAGGGGAGGGGGATCCCCACTGTGTTAGAAGACTTGTTTCTAGGAGTCTCACCGCTCTTTGGCAGGAGGCTGCTGTTCGTCAGGATGTTTGGCTTATTCCATTCGTGCGTGAGTTTAGGCGTTCAAAACATTAATTCGTCCCCACCTCGCCCCCGAGGCTGTCCACCTGCTATGAGACCATGAGACCTGTCGGCTATGAGACCATGAGACCTGTCGGCTATGAGACTATGAAACCTGTCGGCTATGAGACCATGAGACCTGTCGGCTATGAGACCATGAGACCTGTCGGCTATGAGACCATGAGACCTGTCGGCTATGAGACCATGAGTCCTGTCGGCTATGAGACCATGAGACCTGTCGGCTATGAGACTATGAAACTTGTCGGCTATGAGACCATGAGACCTGTCGGCTATGAGACTATGAAACTTGTCGGCTATGAGACTATGAAACTTGTCGGATATGAGACCATGAGACCTGTCGGCTATGAGACCATGAGACCTGTCGGCTATGAGACCATGAGACCTGTCGGCTATGAGACCATGAGACCTGTCGGCTATGAGACCATGAGACCTGTCGGCTATGAGACCATGAGACCTGTCGGCTATGAGACTATGAAACTTGTCGGCTATGAGACCATGAGACCTGTCGGCTATGAGACCATGAGACCTGTCGGCTATGAGACAATGAGACCTGTCGGCGACAAACTCTGGACATGACGGAGAGAACCAACTGCGCTCTATACGAGGAGAGACGCTCAGCGCTGCCAACTCCTGGCCATGCCTCGCAGCCCCGCGCCTACAACACCTGGCGACCCCTCGTGGTGGTGGTGGTGGTGGTAGTCTCTATCCTTGCGTGTGATGGTAGCAATGTTTGGAAGCTAAATGCCAATGTCCAGCTCTGCGCGCCACAACGAGATGGCTTCAGGAGAGAGAGTTGGTGTCGTGTTACTGTTCCTCCTCCTCCTCCGTTAGGCTGCAGTGGTTTGCTTTGTTCGCCGAGCACGAACGGCTCAACGTTGATAGCGTCCCAGACCTCAAGTGGTCGGGTTCATGTGGGGTGATTTTGGTTTACGTCGAGTGATTTGTTCCCGGAGTGAACCGCACAGTTCATCGTGACGCGAAGACCACGTGAGGCACACGCGGCAACGGGCTTATCGCGGAGATAACGAGCCAGGTGACGGCTCACAACATCAACAGTTGATAATAACATCAACAGTTGATAACAACATCAGCAGTTGATAACAGCATAAACAACGACTGAGGAAGTTGGGGATCGCCCTAACGTTCATGAGAGCGAGGCCATCGCCCAGGAAGATGCCGCTGCGTTTCACGGACACGGCACCCGCTGTGGTTTCAGAGTAGGAGCGGAAATGCTGTGCGTGTCTGTACGTCTGTATATATGTATGTCTGTGTGTATGTATGTGTGTTGAACTTCTTTCGCACAGTACGTAGTTAACCGTGCTAATGGGAGGAAAGGACAACAAACTAAACAAAAAAGAAGTTCTAAAAAAGATAGTTTTCAATCTAGATTCAAAATTGCGTAGCCCCATTGGCTTCATCATATCGGAAGCAAGAGCGTTCCAGACGGCCGCAGAAGCGCATCTGAAAGCGCGCGATGCAGTGACCATCTTTGTCCGATGACTAGCCAAAAGCCGCTACGAGGATGACCGGAGTTGATGGTTTATGCTCATTTGCAAGATCAGCAAGGTATTGTGGTTCATTTGTGGCAAGCACTTTGTGTGAAATGAGTGCGACCTTATAATGTATACGTTAGGCATACCACATAGGTCCGTGTGTCAGTACTGGGAAGACAGAGACGACCGAGTGGTGCAGCTGGCAGGACAACCGTAGTTCATGCGCCGTGCAGGCTTTAATAGGTGCTCGCTAACAGCTTCTGCCCCCACGGCCCTGCAACAGCTGCCCGCAGGGGTCTATGCCCTTGAGTGTCGCGGTGGGGTTGTGAGTGTTTCAGTTAACACTGAAACCAACTACCCCCCCACCTTCTATCACCCGATCACCCAGACCCCCCCCCCCTCTACCCCCACCCCCCTCCCCCCGTTCCCCCGGGCCTTACCTCGAACACGCGCAAGGCCCTGGCCAGGGCCCCCACTTCCTCCCTCACGGCGAAGAGGATCTCGATGGGCCCCCCATCGTCGCTGCTCTCAGCCAGGTACATGGACTCCTGCGTGGGGACAGTGGAGAGGTTAGGGCTCGGAATAGACCCTCCAGGTAGCTGCAGTCCAGAAGAAGAGAGGTGAGGGCTTAGGGTTAGACTCGGAGAATAGGGGTATGGTTAGAGTTAGGGTTAAGCACATTCTTGAGCTCTGGGTGGGGTTAGGGGTTGGGTTAGGGTTGGGGTTTCACTTAGTGTTTAGGATAGGGTTTAGGTTAGCGTTAGGTTTAAAGGTAGGGAGGGTTGGTGGTATGCTTGTGGGATTGGGCTAGGGTTGGGGGTATGGTGGTGGGATTGGGGTAGGGTTGGGGGTAGGTGCTCGCTAACAGGACTTGCCCTACAAGTTGAGCAACTCTGAATTTCACCGGGAGGTGGGGGGGGCACTAAACAGCGCGAAGGAATGAATCTGAGAGATTAAAACGAGAATATGTGCCCCCCCCCACTCTCCTCCCACAAACCCTACACCTTCTGCCTCGCACTTTATGAATTCTCACCAATTTAGGTCACGGACGTCACCTCGTTGCGATGTTTAAACAGAACACCTGGCTGCCCCCAGGGCCCCCTGGCTGCCCTCTGGCTGCCCCCAGGGCCCCTTGGCTGCCCCCAGCGGCCCCTGGCTCCCCCCAGGGCCCCTTGGCTGCCCTCATGGCTTCCTGGGGCCCCCAGGGCCCCTTTGCTGCCCCCAGGGCCCCCTGGCTGCCCCCAGGGCCCCCTGGCTGCCCCCAGGGCCCCCCTTGGCTGCCCCTAGGGCGCTCTGGCTACCCCCAGGGCCCCTTGGCTGCCCCCAGGTTCCCCTGGCTGCCCCCCGGCTGCCCTCAGGGCCCCTTGGCTGCCCCCAGGGCCCCCTGGCAACCCCCACTGCCCCCTGGCTGCCCCTAGGGCGCCTTGGCTACCCCCAAGGCCCCCTGGCTACCCCCTAGCTGCCCCATGACCCCTTGGCTGCCCCCAAGGCCCCCTGGCTGCCCCCAGGGCCCCCTGACTGCCCCCAGGGCCCCCTGGTTGCCCCCTGGCTTCCCTCAGGGCACCCTGGCTACCCCCGGGGCCCCTTGGCTGCCCCCAGGGCCCCCTGGCTGCCCCCCAGCTGCCCCCAGGGCCCCTTGGCTGCCCCCAGGGCCCCCTGGCTACCCCCAGGGCCCCTTGGCTGCCCCCAGGGCCCCCTGGCTGCCCCCAGGGCGCCTTGCTGCCCTCAGGGCCCCCTGACTACCCCCTGGCTGCCCCATGACCCCTTAGCTGCCCCCAGAGCCCCCTGGCTGCCCCCTGGCAGCCCCCAGGGCCCCTTGGCTGCCCCCATGGCTTCCTGGTGGCTCCAGGGTCCCGAGGCGGTCCCAGGGTCCCCTGGCTGCCCGCAGGGCCCCTTGGCTACCCCCAGGGCCCCCTGGCTGCCAGTAAGACCATTGTTCTGCGTGGGTTTCTGTAATCGCGGTTTCTAAGCTCAAGAACCAAAAAGGGCCCAAGCATCAAGCAGCCCGCAACAAACAGCGCGCGACGTTTCCTTCAGGGGTACAAATGTCCTTCACGACGACTACGACTACTACAGTACTACTCGTTCGAGTGACGAGAATGAGTCCAATCATAATCGATCGAGAATCAGATTGTCAGTTACAGTTATGAGTGTGGCTGGGTTTTACGGCCCGACTTGTACGTTGTATCCTGGAGGTGTTCATGACGCCCAGGTTGGTGGATACCGAAGGCTACACGCACGCACGGCTCCACGTGTTTTGGAGTTAGGATGGAGTCAACACCCGGCCGTGATAACGCCGAGTTGACGTTGACGATAATTCAGTCGCGACGATGATGATGATGGTCATGACGATTACGTGGGGAGGATGATGAGAGTGTGGGGACGCTAATGCTGATGATAGTGGGGAGGAGCGGAAGTGGAACGGTTAGCGCACCGCGTTACGAACCCGGCGACCCGAGTTCGTTTCCCGCTCACGGCCAACACCAGTGACGATTATGTGAATCGGTCCTGGACCTCCCATAAGCCGACTCAGCCTCAAGTAAGTACATGGTGAGATGTGTAAACATCGCCACTGGGGAGACAAAGGCGACTGGCCGTGGTTTTGGCCACCCACCCATTAGTGTGTCGTGCCAGCCTTCATAGGTGCTCGCTAACAGCACTTGCCCCAGCAGTCTGTTAAGGCTACACGGGAGATCTTTGTCTTTTGTCTGAGTTTGTCTTTGGTGAGAGAAGCAACCTCACAAGTGTAATTTTTAAACGTTTGGGTAAGAGGGGTGAATGTTGTTGATGGTGGCGGCGGTGGTAGTGGTGGTTGTGGTAGTTGGTGGTGGTATTGATGATGATACTTTTATTGGGACACGGAGGTTCTTTATTACGGACAGGTGCACTCTCATTTTTCCAAAATCTGAAAGTTGTGGAACCACCCAGTTTCGTCTCTTAGCATCTCAATTCTACCATCTCTGTCCTCATGTAAACTGACTCTTTTCAAATCGCTAAGGTGGATGTGTAAATTAAATTTACAACGTCATTTATATTATTATTTAAGTTTTATTTTACAATCTCTAATTGTAGAATGTGTTGATGTTGTCTGCCGGCCGAGTCGGACCCTTAAAAAAATCTTCTTAACTCAATGGGCTTCACTCGTGAAGTAAACTTCTGACTTCTGAAACTTCATCATCCGTTGGCAGTGTTGAAGTGACGTCAATAAGAACACAAATCAACAAGGTTTAAAAAAGCTTTAGATTCGAAGTTTCGGGGAAATGGCCCATTTTTAAAGCAGAGCCATCAAAATGTTGGGGCTTGCGGGAGGGATTCCGATGGGGTTTCGGGTGGTGACGGTGGCGATGGGGAGAGATGTGGATAGTCGTGATGCCTCCCTTCGGAAACTTCCATAGTTTTCTGCTTTCACTCATCGCATTCACGAATGCGCGTGTGTGCAATGTGACTGCTGTTAGGGGCAGGGTCTGGGGGGAGTGGGGGGGTCACTCACCGACTCCGAATGCTTGGAACCCGCGCCGTTGTGGGTCTTCGTGCCCGCGTCCATCTCTGAGTCTTCGCGTCCTCAGTGACCGATGTCAGCTCTCTTTCTCGATTTATCCAGAAGTCTCCCCGTCTCGCTCTTCCCTTTCACTCTCGCTATCTCCCTGTCTCTCTCTCGCTATCTCCCTGTCACTCTCGATCTCTCTCTGCGATTCGCGTCGAGCGCTCCCGCGGTCCAACTTTTATGGGACCCGTGGAACAACAAACCTCGCTTGGGGTGCAGGCACGGCCAATCAGAGCGCGAGAGGGGGCGACGCCCACGGGGGGTGATGGTTGGGGTGTTGAGTGATGGTGATGTGATGGGTGAAGGTCTGCCGGTGTCGAGATGTCAACTACCTCGCCTGGTATACAGGAGGTCGTGGGTGCGATCCCAACCCTGACGCCTGCTGTATATTTTGAGTTTGCGTGTCTCTCTCTTTCCCCGTGGTCGCGTGGATTTTTCTCCGGGTCCTGCGGTGTTCCACTCCACATTTAGAAACTTACGTTTAGAGTATTTGGCTGCTATAAATGCCCATATGATAAGCCACTTCGTTGAGCTATCATGTGTGGCCAGGTCGCTTCGGAAAAGAGCTATGTAGCTCAGTGGGCCTTTCCTGGTAAAATAAGAAAAAATGTTTAGTTTAGTTTATCTCTCACGGTCTCACGATGAAACAATTCACCCGACACCTGCGCACAACCTTTGCCGTCGCTCCATCTCCGCGGCGGATGTCCCTCTGGGATGCGTTTCCCTCCTTTGGCTGTCACTCTGCCAGTAGCTTCGACCACAGCCATCGTCCCTCCAGCGACGCTTTGTCTGCACAAACCCACGCACTTCCCTTCACTGTTTTACTGATGGCGTTGCTTTTTGCGCGCGTGTTCCCGCGTTCTCTTTATGTCCCCCACTCCCAAGCGTGCCTCTCTCCGTGATTTTTTGCGCACTTTTTAGTTTTGTGATCCGTCCTCTTCGTCAGTGCCCGCGTTGCTGCTCCACGGGTCACGCGTCGCACTCTGGGCGCTTTGGAAAAGTCGCTTCGCACGATCCACGCTCAGTTTACCACTCCAGCCGTCTCTCAGGCGCCTCTATATCTTCCCAAACAGAACTCTGCCCGCCTTCAATTACTGCCCGTGGATGGAGGAAGCTGGGGTTAGATGAGGCCGGGGGGAGGGGGGCGCGTTCCCCCATTGTGTTTCCCTGACAAAAATCACTGCGAGCCAACAATGCGCGGCGCCTGTGCTTGCTGTGGGTAACGAGAGATGGTGGCGATCGTGCGCGATGGGTCACGGTGATGTTGGTGGCGATAAATGGTGGTGGTGGTGGTGGTGGGCGATGCACGATGGGTGGTGGATGATGTGGATGTTGGTCATGGGTGGTTGATTGCGTTGTGATGTGATATGCGCCGCTGATGTTGGGATCGGTTCGCTGTGAACTCTCTCTTTGTGATTACGCCACAGCGCGTGAGCGGCGTCCGCGTGACTCCTCCACGGGGGGCGGGGGTTGAATCTACTCGCGACTCCCCCCGTGGCTCTGACCGAGGGGTCCCAGTCATCACCAAGGACTCTGACCGAGGGGTTGCCTCACTCTGCCAACGGGGGACCAGGGCCGGGGGTTTGACCCCCGCATCCCCTTGATGTGAGCGGTGGTGAGAGCAGCTCGGTGTGGGTGCAGGGATGGTTCTGTGACTGCGAGGATTGAGAGACTCCACATTCAGACCGCATGGTTTTCGAGACTCAAACTCGTTTGGTTTCTAATCATTTCCATCCGATCTCCGTGGCTGATAAAAGATGAATACCACTTTTTAAGGAAGTCGAGTGGTTGTTAAAGGACTGGCCCCCCTGTTATAAGAATGTGAAATTTGCATCATTAACTTCCTATGAACGGGTTCAGAGACAGTAGATGCGTGAACTCGGCATTGTCGTCCGCGTGGTATTATGTTAAACAATGAGACACCGATGCGTCGTGGCGCGTTTTCTTTCCGAGGAGTGGCGTTGCCCTTGAACATTCCGGCTGAATATTGAACACTGGGTTCGATGATCGGATCGCGTGGACCGTGCGTCCATGTAGCTACTGATTGTGCCCGGATTCAGAAAACCCCACGCTCGCATTGTATCTGTGTTGCTACTATTGTTGCTGCTGTTGTTGCTGCTATTGTTGCTGCTGTTGTGTACGACCAAACCGGCCGCATGCGCTCACAGCTCTGGCCGTGGCGTCAGGGGCCCGCAGCGCCGCTCACTCCGGCGCCAGGGTTCCCACACCCCCGTTGTTCACTACGCGCATCTGAATTCACAGTCGTTCTCCTCCCTCATCCCTCTGGCCACTGACGCCGATTTCTACCCCAAGCGCACGCAGGAGACGCCGCCCTCACGCAGAGCCCTGGCGTCCAACACTCGCGTCGCGTCCAGAACGCGCATCACGCGGCCGTTGACCACAGATCACGCGGCCCGTCAGAACAAACACCTCGTCCAAGACCCAAACAATGCCCAACATCGTGGCTTTATTCCTCATCCTCCTCGACGACTCTGGTGGAACCGCCAACCGCATCAAAACAGCAGCGAGGGTTAGTGGATCACCGCACCCAGTTGTTGTGAACTCCCTTCTCGTGGTCGTCGACACGGTGTCGTACCGTGGCTCACCAGCAGAAGGCAGTACAGCAAGTTGACTCATCGCCATCTGTTTGCATCTGTGCGGGGATGGAGTGTTGCCCCCTTGCGCAAGACGTGGAGTTTTCTCCGAGTTCTCAGGTTTCCTCCTCACGTGAATAATAAACACGACTCTTCACTCATTGGCTGAAAACTTCTTTAAAAATTCAAACGAGTCCTAAGACTCAAGGAGTGTGGCTCTCGTGGTTAAATAAGTAAAGATTATAAATAAGTAAACTTCGTAAAAATTGACAAAGTTCGGCCACTCGGGGCGGGCACGATCTGGCGCGACTGAGCGCTCTTCGCCCGCACCCCGCCTCTCCACAACCAGCCGTGAGCCAATGATGAACATTACACATTCATATGGCGGGTGCGAGTTAGCCCATAAGACTCCCACTGTTGACTTCCCCACAAAGTAGAACTTCTTGTTTTATCGACCCCCAGAGGGATGATTGGGTGAGCCAATCTCCTCAGCCAGGATGAATCTCGCGAACTTTCCGATTGTGAGCCTCTGACTCTACTAGATAGAAGAGAGAGAGAGATCTGTGTATAAGAGCGATACGAGATATGAGAGAGGTAGGAGAGACGCATGCAGAGCATATGAGACGTATGAGATAGATCTGAAGAGACGTCTGAGAGTTGGGAGATGCATCCAGAAGAGTTGCCTTAACCCTGTCGCACATCGACCCAGAGAGATGATGGAATGTTCCCGGTCGGGTCACTGAGAATGCGAAATGGAATCGCACGCTGCTGGAGAAAGGCCCTCCCCACGCCGCGTCGGCCGTGGCGGTTGTTTGACCATACTTCCCCACGCTGGTCTGTGTGGGGGTCGTCGCGTCGCTTGGGTGGCAGCAGCAACAGCACCGCGATCGGTGTCACTGTCCCTGTCCCGCTCGCGATGGCTTAATCGCTTTGATAATCACTTACCGCTGTTTCATTGATGGTGTTATAGTTAATGGGATTGCTTAATCGCTCTGATAGTTAACGCAAGCGATATTTTATCAGCTGCTCTAGGAGTTACTCGCGCTGCTGTCCGATCGCTTCGTGGGTCGCCGCGCGCCCCCTCGCGTCTCCTCTCCGCATCTTTCCCCTCGACCCGGCCCAAAGCGCCATGTCGAGGGTGATTCACGCCCCCGTTCCACCCCCCTCTCACGGGATCGACTTGGAGAGTTGACGCCGCGAGACCCCAGAGGCGCGGAATAAATCGGCGACCTCGTCAGCAGGGGGCAGCAGTGGCGCGCAGGAGATGGAGAGGTTATGGTTCGAGTCGGGGGGGGCGGGGGTTGAGTTAGGGGTAGGGTTTGAGTTCGGGGTAGGGTTAGGGTAGAGTTAGAGGTGGGATTTAAGAGTAGGGTTAGGGGTAGAGCTAGAGTTAGGGGTACGGTTGACTGAGATGACTGACAGATGCACCATCTGTGGCCAACTTTACGTGCCAACTCGCTTTCCTTTGACCACCATTGTTGTTGGTTGGCGACTGTCGACAACTCCCCAACAGCGTCCTTTACGAACCTCCTCTACCGATCTTGACATTGATGGTACCAGTCATCGGCAATTCCACTCAGTTGCACATTCTTCTAAACCGTATCAGTCCATCTCTTCTCTAGCCCTTTTCGCACCCATTAGCCCCATCTATACGGCGAAACAGACGCGGATTGGGTATGCGGGACTGTGCGCAGCCTTTCAAGGACCTGCGAGCTTCTCGCACAATCTAGTCTGGTTTAAAGCAGGATGGATCGTAGACAGGTCCGCCTGAATGTTTCAAACCGACGCAGATGTTATTTTAAATGGGTCCACCTTGCGCAAGCATAGATAAGAGAGGGCATGTTATAACTGTGGCTGAGAAGACCCAGACAGCTTCTACACAGCGTTATGCAGCCGATGCATTCATACACACGCATACACAAAGACAAAGATCTCCTGTGTAGCCTACATATACTCTTGGATCAAGTGCTGTGAGCAAATGCTGTTTGCGAGGGCCGGCACGACACTCCGCACCAAGTACTAATTTAAGGCTGGGTTCATAGCGCAGCGCGCTAACCGCTACACTACTACTCCCCACTACAAAGACAAAGACAAAGATCCCCCGTATAGCCTTAACAGACTGTAGGGGCAAGTGCTGTTAGCGAGCACCTATGAAGGCCGGAACGGTACACGAGGGGGTGGGTGGCCAGCACCACGCCCGACCGCCTTTGTCTCAGTGGCAATGTTTTTATCCACCGCACTAGGTACTCATTTGAGGCTGAGTCGACCTAGGGGAGGCCCAGGACCGGTTCAGATAATCGTCACTGATGTTGGGCGTGAGCGGGAATCGAACCCGGGTCGCCAGGTTCATAGCGCAGCGCGCTAACCGCTACACTACCACTCCGCACTACACACACGTGCACACACACACACGTGCACACGCTCACAACTTACACAGTCTGACAAAGCATTCACTTTGCGACGGGCGACAGCGAATGTAAAATAATCGCCCCGAGTGCGGCCTCCGTGTGTCGCGCTGCGTGGCGCCCGCGTGAACGCCGACGCCACTCTCCGGCTTCTGAGGTTGCCGTCGGCTCGGGGGCTCTTGCAGCCAGACCCAGGCATGGCCATTGTCGCGGAGAATCGCGGATTATGGAGCGCCTAGTGCGTGATACTCGAGAGGGCGCAAAGCGCAATCTCATAAACATCGGCGTGACCATGAAACCAGGAGTGTCTTCATAATACACGTCGACATTCTCGTCATCATCACCGCTATCATCGTTATCATGATTTATTGTTATCACCACTAACATCAAAACTGTCATTAAAACTACATCATCACTATCATCACCACTATCATCCATAATAATAAAAAAACTATATTATGGATGATATTGGTCGCGAAAGCCTACGTGTTAAAATCACCACTATCATCAATCACTATCAAGATCACCACTGTCATCGTCACCATTACCATCATCACCATCTCCATCATCACTTCTATCATCATCACCACCGTCATTATAAGAACTTTCATTGTCACTATCATCATTAACACAATCGCCACCATCATGATCATTAATATCATCATCATCGTCATCATCATCACTGCCTCCACCATCACCGCGGGCTCAACGAGGCCGCTCCGCCGCCCCCGCTAGCCCCCACCCCCTGCTCCTCGTGCACGCGCCGCGCGCTCCCCCGACTCCCCCGCCCTCCCCACTCCCCCGACCGCCCCCTCCCCTCGCTGTTTGTCCGCACTCGAGTGGCACGCGCCTGGCGCGCGCGTGCGGCCCCAGTGTCAATAGGCGACACAAAGCGGGCGGGTGTGGCCCGGGTGGTGGGAGGGGGAGCGGAGGGGTAGAGGCGGGGGGGTGCGCCGGGACGAGGGGGGGGGGGTTGAGCCCCTCGCGCTCAAAACCTCGCCCCGGGGACCGTGCGCCACTTAATGCGCGAGAGACGGAGACAGAGACACAGAGAGAGACAGAGTGAGACAGAGAGACACAGAGAGAGACAGTGAGACAGAGACAGAGATAGAGTGAGACAGAGAGAGAGACAGAGAGACACAGAGAGAGACAGAGACAGAGTGAGACAGAGAGAGAGACAGAGAGAGACAGAGACAGGGTGAGACAGAGAGAGAGACAGAGACAGAGAGGGACAGAGTGAGACAGAGAGAGCGACAGAGACAGGGTGAGACAGAGACAGAGTGAGAGAGTGAGACAAGCCACCCGAATAGAGCGAAGCATAAGGACAAGCAGAGGGAGATTCTGCGACACCGAGACAGAGAAGCCACCTGCTGCATAGGAGCCGAGTCGAGAGGCACCCGGCAGCAGCAGCGATCCACGCGGACAGCACCGGCGGCCCGGCCAGGTGAAGAGGGCAAGAAAACCTCGCCGCGTTGTTCCAGCTACTCTGACAGCAGCACAGGTTGGCTGCTGTCCAACCCGACGGTCCCCGTTTCCCACTGGTAACCTCCGAGTCCACCTTCGAGTTCACCTCCGAGTCCACCTCCAGAGATGTCCGTGCAGGTGGCTCCTCCCTGCGCGTTCGCGCCCGCGGGACCCATGATGAGCCTCATGGCTCCGGGCTCCCCGCATCCCGCGCTCGCGTCCCCCGCGTCTCCCGCCGCGACGTCGGCGCGAAACCCGGGCTCCGGCAGCAGCAGCAGCAGCGGCAAGGGGCGCTCTGGGAGCAAGAAGCACCACAACCACCACCATCACCACAACCACCATCGCCATCACAACAACCACCACCGCGCTTCGTCACCCGAGCTGTTACGGGTGAAGAGGCGGCACCCCTCGGGGGGGCTGGTGGGATGCTTGGGGCTCCCGGCGCCCGCGTCCGTGGCGCGGCGCAACGAGCGGGAGAGGAACCGCGTCCGCCTCGTCAACATGGGCTTCGCGGCGCTGCGGGAGCGCGTCCCGGGAGCCGGAGCGGCCAAGAAGATGAGCAAAGTGGAGACGCTGCGCTCCGCCGTGGAGTACATCCACGCCCTGCAGCACCTCCTGGAGCGCGGGGACGGAGCCGCGTGCGCCGCGCTTCGCGCCGCAATGCCCGGCCACGGCGGAGACTGCGCAGCGCTCTCTGCGCTCGAGCTCTGCTGCTCCTCGTCGTCCGTCGCCTCCCCGCTCTCCTCGTCCGGCGCCTCCTCCTCCGAGATGGCGTGCGGCTCGCTCAGCCCCGACGACCACGGCCTGGCTGCAGACTTTGCCGCCTGGTTCTGAGACTCGAGAGAGAGAGATACAGACGGGAGAGGGACAGAGACACGGCGGGATGGGAGCGAACGTGGAGTTCCCTTGCAGAGAGCGCGGATGATGAGTCCAGGAGGTGCTCCCTCCCCCACCATTCCCTGTTCCCCGCTGAGTTAAATGATCACCTACACAGAGACGATGAGTGAATAACGAGTGTGACGAAGCGGAGGGGGGGATGGGAGAGACGGTTAACGAGTCTGACTGTGGACTCGAGAAAGCGCGAGAGAGAGCGTGTGTGAGAGAGCGTGAATTCCTGAGCGACTCTTCAACCAGTCACGTGATTGTCTAATAGTTATGTTACTCGTCGAGACTTGGAACGCCGAGCAGCGGGGGATCAGAGACCAGGAGTCGTGAAGCGGTCGCCACCTTGGCAATGCTGTGACCCGGGAGGAGGGCCTCCCACGGACCCCCACGGACCCCCATGGACTCCCGAGTTCCAATATCTACCTTGCACCCCTCACCCCCGATGTCTGTGACACTGATAATCGCCGTCATGTCCATGAACACGAACATCGGGGTGGCACACGTGTGAGGTCGCTCCCAACGCGTGCCCCGTTTGCCCGGGAGCGCGTTTCCTGCGCGTGTGACGCTGACAACAACAAGCGGAGGTTGGGTGGATAACATTGAGCGAGTTGGCAAAGTGGGGAACACAGATGGTGGTATCTGCCAGTTATCTCAGTCAGTCAACCCTTAAAACCTGGGTCTGTCCCGTAACCTGCTGCCAGCAGAGAGACTTCGACACTTCACGTGGCCTCAAGGTGCACCTAGCCTGGCACAAACGCCGTGGTAATGTCACCGCCACTTGGTGGCGAACGACGGTTGTTATGAATGCATGCGTGTGTGCCTAGGTGTGTGTGTGTAAGTGTATGCGTGTGGCGAGCGGGTAGTGCAGCGATTAGCGCGCTGCGCTACGAACCCGACGGCCCGATTTCAAATCTTGCTCAGGGCCAACACCAGTTAAAATTATTTGAACCGGTCCTGGGCCTCCCGTAGGTCGACTCAATCTCAAATGAGTACTTGGTGCGGTGTGTAAACATCGCCACGAGGGAAACAAATGCGGCCGGGCGTGGTTCTGGCCACCCACCCCCTCGTATGCCGCGTCGGCCTTCAAAGGTACTCGCTAACAGCACTTGCCCCAAAAGTGTATTAAGGCTATAGGGGGGATCTTTGTGTGTGCGCGTGTTTATGAATGCAGGGGTCGGTTCCGTTAGCGAGCACCGCTTAAGCCAAAGCTACACTGGGGGGAGGGGGGGGTGTTGAATGTGGCGCAGTTCCCACCAGGGAACGAGCATCAGAATCACGTCGTGACATTCACCTCTCTCGAGTCTCCCCGAGGTCGAGTCAGCCCTGAAAGATAATATAACGCGGTCGGACGTGTTTCTAGTCACACCGTGCTGGCATGTTCTAAGGTGCTCGCTAAGAGCACCAAGGCAGTCGGATACGGTGATACGGGGATCTTTGCCTTTACGTGCGTGTGTGTGTGTATATGAATCTCTATATTTTGTGTATATGCATTTATAAAAAAAAAACTATACTGCGGCGAGGATAGCACCGTGCCGGCCCCGAGCTGCCTCATGTACTTGACTATTTTATCTCATAAACTCTATTGAGAACTCTGTGAGTGAACGAGGTCTCTGTGAGTGAACGAGGTCTCTGCGATTTAATAATAAATCACGCAACATCTCGCACACAGACACGCAGAGACACATAGACACGCAGAGACACAGATACACACAGACACACACAGACACACAGAGACACGCAGGCACACAGACACACAGATACACACATACACACAGATACACACAGACACACAGAGATACGCAGGCACACAGATACACACAGACACACAGAGACACACAGACATGCAGATACACACAGACACACAGATACACACACAAACACACAGATACACACAGACACACAGATACACACAGACACACAGACACACGCAGGCACACAGAGACACACAGACACACACAGACGCACAGAGACACACAGACACACACAGAGACATACAGGCACACAGAGACACACAGATACACACAGACACACAGATACACACAGACACACAGACACACACAGGCACACACAGGCACACAGGCACGCACACAGAAAGGCAGAGATAAACACAGATACACATTCAGATATGAAGACACAGACATGTGCACACATACATGCATATACAGTCATGCATGCATAGGCCCACACAGATTCACATACGGAGACAAACATTCCCCATATAGCCTGAAACAGACCGTTGGGGCATGTGCTGTTAGCGAACACCGATGAAGAATGACACGGTACACAAGGGGGCGGGTGGCCAGCACCACGCCCGGCCGCCTTTGTCTCTCCCTAGTGGCGATGTTTACACTTCGCACCAAGTACTCATTTGAGTCTCAGTCGACCTAGGGGAGGCCCAGGACCAGTTCAGATAATCGTCACTGGTGTTGGCCATGAGCGGGAATCGATCTCAGGTTACCGAGTTCATAGCTGGCTAACCACTACACGACCGCTCCCCATGGATACACACAGGGTCTGTACACGTGCACACGTGCACACGCGTGCACAGAGTCTGTACACGTGCACACGTGCACACGCGTGCACAGGGTCGGTACACGTGCACACGTGCACACGCGTGCACAGGGTCTGTACACGTGCACACGCGTGCACAGGGTCTGTACACGTGCACACGCGTGCACAGGGTCGCAGTCACCGGGGTTGAAGGGCCGAGAGGGCCCAAGAGAGAAGATCTCCCCCCCCCCTTTCCTCGCCACTCCTCCAGCTCGCACCCCACCACACCCCCTCCCCTCGTCCCCGCTCCCTCGTCTACACCATCATTAAAATGGTCACGTGGCCGCGCGTGATTAAATGAGGAGGGGGGGTCGCCTCTGGGCGCGCCCCCCTCCACTCCTCCTCGCATCTGCAAGACGCACAATGGTCGTGTTGTGCCCAGTGACACGGAGCGTGCGCGGACACACACACACGAACACACACACACACGGACACACATACGGACACACACACAGACACACACACGGACAAAAATACAAAAACAAAGATAGCCTTAATAGACTGTTGGGGCAAGTGCTATTAGCGAGCAGCTATAAAGACTGGAACTGCACACGAGGGGGTGGATGGCCAGCGCCACGCCCGGCCGCCTTTGTCTCCACAGTGGCTATGTTTACATATCGAACCAGGTACTCATTTGAGGCTGAATCGACCTAGGGGAGGTCCAGGACCGATTCAAATATTTCCACTGTTATTGGTCGTGAGCGAGAATCAAACTCAGGTCGCCGGATTCATAGTGCAGCGCTCCCCAAACCGCAACACGCAGACATACACAACGACACACAGACATATGCACAGATGACTGATACAAACACACACGCTGACACAGACGCACGCAGACGCACACTTGCACGCACCAAGTAATTCTAAGATCTGGATCTTGTCAGCGGCATCGCCATCATCACGATCATCGTCACGAAGCGACGCATGAGTCACAAAGGAGCGCGCTGTCAGGCGGCGCGAGCCGGGAGGCGTCCTGACCCCACCGAGACCCCCACCCGAACCCCTACCGTGACCCAGAGCGGCCGCTCTCAATCCCCATCCCCTTGTCTCCCACAGCATCGCTCCCAGTCCGGTCAAAGCAGGTGTGGGAGCACACGCCGAGACATCGCGTAGGGATCCCTTCTGGCAGAGCCCCAAGCAAACCCCCTTCCTCGGGATCCCTTCTGGCAGAGCCCCCGAGCGAGCCCTCTTCCCATCCCGGAGTCTCTGTAGTCACGGACGATCTGATGCAGCCACGAGGCGACGAGGCTGTGTCCGCCCCCTTGGCCTCCCCCTGCACCCCCAGGTCCTCTGGCTGAGATACTCTGGAGAAGCGGCGTGCCCAGAGAGCCGGAGCTGAGGTTCCCGTGCCCTGCAAGCAGCGAACCTCACTTTTCTCTCCCCCTTGATCCCCTGAGAGTCCCCGCACGGGAGCCACGAAGACACGGAGCCGCGTCATTCTGCTAAGAAACAGGCGACGCCAAACGCGCAGGGACTCCCAAGGCTCCTTTTCAGGCGCTTCCTGTTGAGATGTCTAGCCAGCTCTGTTCGACTGAATATTTATTTGGATCGGTGTCGGTTGAAATCTGAGTATCTGAAAAAAACCCCACCGCGCACACGAGCAGACAACACAGCGCTGCACAGATGGATTAAATTTCTGTGCTGCTCTGCAAACTCCTCATGGTGATCCACCAATCATAATTTTAAAAGCGGGCTTGCCCCACCAGTCACAGCGAGCTGGCGGGAGGAACATTGAGCAGTGAGCGGATAGCGAGGCATGGCTGGGTCAAGGCAGGGCTGTGTCAGGGCATGGCTGCTGGGTCAGGGTATGATTGGGTCAGGGCATGGCTGCTGGGTCAGGGTATGATTGGGTCAGGGCATGTTTGCTGGGTCAGGGTATGATTGAGTCAGGGCATGGCTGCTGGGTCAGGGTATGGCTGGGTCCTGGCATGGCTACTGGGTAAGGGCATGAGGGATTGTAGAAGAGGCAACAGGAAGCTGGGAGTGGGGGCATAGAACCCTGCAGTGCCCCCCCCCCCCGCGTCGCACCCCCCCCCCCCCCCCCTCTGCTGCCGACGCCCTCTTCCTCCTCGTGGCCGGTAATTACTCTCCAATTAGCGCCGTTAATTAACGGCTCCGCTCTCAGGATTCATCCTCGATTCTGCAGGAGGCAAAACTCCTGCCGCCGGGCGCACGCGCGTGTACACACACACACGAACGGTGTGGGCGTGTTGATGCGTACGTGTGCGCGCGCGTGCATAACTCCTGTACACACACCTCACACGTACACACCTGTACACACGTAATATATGTACAAATACAAATATTCCCCTCGGGCAAGTGCTGTTAGCGAGCGCCCATAAACACACGTACACACATGCGCACACCACGCACACGTTCACACTTGTACACACGTACAGAACTGCACACAGCACGCACGAGGTGAGTGCTGAGGTTCCCCGTTGAATCCCACACGCATTGGACAGCGAGAGGCGAGAACGCGGACTCGGAACACAAACACGGGCGCGTGACGGGGGTCGTGAAAAATTAACGAGTGGTGGTGGGGGGGGTTAATCCCACGACACAAAGGATGCGAGGGGACGCGTGTTGTGTACACTCCCCCACGTGAACACAGGTGAGACACGTGTACACTCACCCACGTGTACACAGGTGAGACACGTGTACACTCACCTGCGTGTACACTCCCCCACGTGTCACAGGTGAAACATGTGTACATTCATCCACGTGTACACAGGTGAACCAGATGTACATAGGTGAGTACATGTACACTCACGGCCCTTGTGTCAATCCACTGCTGAATGATGACCTCGCCACAACGTGCGGACCGCGGGGGTTAATTGGCCATACTTCGCCGCGCAGGTCTGTGTGGGTTGGTGAAGGTGTGGAGAAAACACAACTCGTGTGCATATACGTACAGCACAACAAAGGATGCTGCTGCCCTTGCCCCCTGCTATTCGCCACCTAATCCCCGCACAGCCTGTATCATCTGTTATGCATGGTGCTGTCACCCATGCAAGCCCTATCCAGGCTCAAGCCTGCTTAGCCTCCGAGCTCTCACGGGATTGGGCGAATATTGGCCATGTACGCATCCAGGAGAGCCACGCCGAGTCGTTTTCAGGAGGGTGCTGCCACTGACTCATTGGGTGTTGTTTGAAGATGTTTCC